CACAGGCAGAGGATTAGCCAAGTGAGCCATGGCGCTGGCCCATAAAAGATTTACTTTTATTTATTTGAAAGAATTACAGAAAAAAGTGGGGGGGGGGGTCTTCCATCCACTGGTTCACTCCCCAAATGGCCACAACTGGCGGAGCTGAACTGATCCAAAGTGAGGAGCCAGGAGCTTCTTCTGGGTCTCTTATGCAGGTACAGGGGCCCAAAGACTTGGGCCATCTTCTACTGCTTTCCCAGGCCATAGCAGAGAGTTGGATTTGGAAGAGAAGCAGCCAGGACTCAAACCGGTGCCCATATGGGGTGCCAGCGCTTCACGATGGGGCTTTAACCTGCTGTGCTCAGTCCTAGCCCCTTATAAATTCTTGATACTTTATAAAGATAAGATTTTTCAAATATTTTCTCTGAGATAACTTACTTTTCATATTCTTTTTAAAAAAAAGATTTATTTATTTATTTGAAACAGAATTAGGGAGAGACAGAAATGTTCCATCTGTTGGTCCACTCCCCAAATGGCCGCAACCTGGAGCTCCCACGTGCACTTGAGCCATCTTCCAGAGCCTTCCCAGGCCATTAGCAGAGAGCTGGATTGCAAGAGGAGTACCCCGGACACAAACTGCTGCCCATCTAAGAAGTCAGCACCACAAGTGGAATCTTAATCCACTACACCACAGCACCGGCCACTTACTTTTCATATTCTAACAGGATAACTTAAGGAGCAGAAGTCAATACTTGTGAAGTCCAGCTTATTCATTTTTTCCTTTTTCAGTTTCTGTTTTTCATAGTTTATATAAGAAACCTGTGTCTAATCCAAAGCCACTAAAATAATCTGTTTTCTGCTAGAGGTTGTATGGTTTTAGCTCATACATTTAGATATGTGATACATTTTGAGGTACTTTTTTGTGGAGTTAGGTAAGAGTCTTTTTTTTTTGTATATGGATATACAGTTGTTCACCATTTGTTAAGAGGAATATATCCATAAAAAAAAGGAATATATCCTCTTCCCAGTGAATTACATTGGCAGTTTCTTTTGAATATCAACTGAACACAGGTACATTTGTATGTCTTTAATCTGTCTTGCTTAATGTTTTCTATAAAGTATAGAAATCAGGTAACGTGAATCTACCAGTTTATTTTTCCCCCAAATTCTGTGGACTTTTCTAGGGCATTAGCATTTCCATATATATTCTGGAAAAAGTTGGTCAGTTTCCACAAAAAACAAACAAACAAAAAACCTGGGATTTTTGACTAGGATCACATTTGAATTTATAGAACAATTTGGGGAGAATTGACATTTTAACAATATTGAGTGCTCTCATCCATGTACCAGGTGTACTTGTAACTGTCCATTTATTTATGTCTTCTTTTGTTTCTTTTATTACTGTTTTATATTTGTGGCTATAGTCCTAAAAATATTAAAAATATTTATCCCCCTGCCCAGTGCTATGGCATAGTAGGTTAAGCTTCTACCTGTGCTGCCGGCGTTCCATATGGTTACCAGTTTGTATTCCAGCTGCTCCTCTTCCCTTCCAGCTCTCTGCTTATAGCCTGAGAAGGCAGTAGAAGATGGTCTAAGTGCTTGGGCCCCTGCATACAAGTCAGAGACCCAGAAGAAGCTCCTGGCTTCAGATTGTCCCAGCTCTGGCTGTTGTGGCCATTTGGGGAGTGAACCAGCGGGTGGAAGACCTCTCTCTGTCTCTCCCTCTCTCTGTGTGCCTCTCAAATGAGTAAATAAATCATACACACACACACACACACACACACACACTTTTCTACCCTAAGAATGGATTGAAGGGGCTGGTGCCATGGCTTAGTAGGTTAAGCCTTTGCCTCCTGGCGCTGGTATCCCATATGGATGCTGGTTCAAGTCCCAGCTAGAAAAGCAGTGGAAGATGGCTCAAGTGTTTGGGCCCCTGTACCTGCTTGGGAGACCCAGAAGCAGCTCCTAGCTCCTGGCTTCAAATCGGCCCACTTCAGTCCATTGCAGGCATTTGGGAAGTGAACCAGTAGATGGAAGACCTCTCTCCATCTCTCTCCCTCTCTCCGTCACTCTGCCTGTCAAATCTTGAGAGGGAAAAAGAAAAAATGGAATGGAATGGATTGGAAGCAGGGCAGCTGGGACTCAGTCGAACACTCCGATATGGCATGCTGGAGCACCACAATGCCCGCTCTCTGCTTTCTTTTGATTAGTGTTTGCCTGGCATATCTTTCCCATTCTTTTATATTGACTTCCCTTTATTGTTGTATTTAAAGTGAATTTCTTTTTGGTCACATTTTTCCCTCCTGAAAATTTCTGTCTTTTGTTTGGTGTGTTTAAACCATTTGTATTTCATATAATTATTGATATATTTGGATTAGTCATTTTATTATTTATTGCTTCTATTTTCATTCCTCAGTTTTCCACTAATTGCCTTCTTTTGGGTTATGTTTTTATAAATGCAGCTTCTGAAAAATAGTGTAAGCTTTTCCCAACATATGGTCTATTTAGTATATTATTGATGTACAATTTTTCTCAAAAAATGATATTCCTTTAGTTTTAATTTGCTTCATCTGCAAAACAGATACTTTATCTTTGTAGTCTCAGGCTGTTTTTGACTTCATGCAGCTCAGTTTGCTTTTTTGGGTCAGAGTTTTTGTGTTTTTCTGTGACTTGTAACTCTGTAAGCTTTATATAAAACCAGCTTTACGGTTGGTGCTGTGTTATAACATGGTTAGAGTTCTAACAGTTGAATGGCCCCAAAGTAAGCTTTGCCTCTTGTGTGAAATGTCAGAAAAGTTCCTTAATTTCTTTTAAGTTTGTTTCTCTCCTGTAAAATGAAAGATTTTGGGGGTGGATGTTGTAGGTTAAGCCACTGCTTGTCTTGCCCTGCATCCAGTATTGGAGTTCCTAGTTCAAGTTCCCAGCTACTGTGCACTTCTGATCCAGCTTCTTGCTAATGCACCTGGAAGGCAGCAGATGGTGACCCAAGTACTTGGGTTCCTGCCACTCTCTAAGGAGATCTGTGTGAAGTTCCTGGCTTCTGCAGGCCTAACCCCAGCTGTTTAGGCATTTAGGGAATGGACCAGTGGATAAAAAATCTTCCCCCACCCCCATCTCTGTTTCTCCTTCTGTCACTTTGCCTTTCAAATAAATATTTTTAATGAAAGATTTGAATTTAGGCAGTTTTTAAATGTTCTGATACTTTTTTTTTTTTTTTTTTTTTGAAAGGCAGAGAGAGCCAGGTCTTTCTTCCACATACTGGTTCGCTCCCCAGATGTCTGCAACAGCCTGAGCTGGATTAGACTGAAGCCCCAGGACCCAGGAACTCAATTTGGGTCTTTTAAGCAGGTTGCAGGGACTCTACCACTCAAGCCGTCACCTGCTGCCTCACAGAGTACACATTAGCAGGAAGCTGGATCAGAAGATGGGCCAAGACACAAATCGAGGGACTTGGATAGGTTGCAAGTGTCCCAAGCAAAGTGTTAACCACTGAACCAAATGCCTGCCCCTGTTGTGGTATATTCTGATTTGACTATATCCAGATCAATTTGCTGTGGTTTTTGACAATTTAGAAATTAGCTCAGTTCTTTTAAGTTTTTTTGGTTTTGTTTCCATTAAAACCAAACAAATTTTAAAGCACCAAAAGAAAAATTTGAAGAGCATAGCAGATTTTATTACTAAGCTGGTAAAGGTATCTGAATTTTAATAATTTATATATAGATATTATAGGAATATAATATAACTTGTTATATAACTTGTTAATCATTTCTGTATGTTTTGTGGCCCAAGTAATGCTTCACTTGGCTAGGAGCGTCAGTCTAGCCCACTGATGTGTAGTAGAGCATTCTGTGATGAAAGAAATGTATATCTGTTGTATAATACAGTAGCTATTTTATTTTTTGTTAAAGATTTATTCATGAGAAGGAGAGACAGAAGATACTTTCCATCTGCTACTTCATTCCCCCAAAATGTCTGTAACAGCCAGGGCTGCACCCAGCTAAAGCCAAGAGCTAGAAACTCTGTCTGGGTCTCCCACATGGATGACTGGGGCCCAAGCAGTTGAGCATTTATCCATTGCCTCCAAAGCACATTAGCAGGAAGCTGGATTGGAAGAGCAAAGTAGCTGGTACTCGAACTGGCACTCCACTGAGATGTGGTCATCCCAAACAGTGGCTTAACCTGCTGTGTCATAGTGCCTGTCAGTGCAATCATTACTTGAATTTTATCTGATCTTTATTAATTTAAATAGCCACATATGGTTAATAGTTTATTAGCACAGAGCTAGCCTCATAACTGCTTCTTTTATGTGTAGAACCTCCTCCCCCCTATTTTTTATCTCAATTATAAGCTTCTCGTAAGCATAAGCTTCTGGGAGAGTCCTTGACCTATGTAGTCAGCTTTCAAAGTAGGAGAGAAAAGGCTGAATAAATTGGAAAGAAAATGTTGCATGAAGTGATAATTATAGCACAATATAAGTATTCTGTCAACAAATAGGTTGATAAAGTGCCTGGAGATGTTCAGTGAAGGATTTTAAATTCCTCTACAGAGTTTAAATCGGATGGGTTTGATAAAGGGAATTAGATATCAATCTACAGCACTTCAATTTCTTGGTTGGGTCTGCAGAAATGCTTCCATACTAACACAACAGCTACCAGGAAAAGTATTGGAAGCTCCCTACCTCTGAATCCATGCTTAATAAGAAACCCTTTGCTACTGCTTCATTTCATTGTTCCCAGGTACAAAGAAGACTCCAGGTATTACTAGTCTAGAGAAGGTGGCAAGTAATAGAAAGGTAATTTTCTTTTTCTCATTTTAGTGATAGGCTGAATAGACTTGAACAACAGAACTTGGATTATAAGCTTAAATTATTAAGTGGTTAGTATAGCTAGCCTCTTTGTGAAAAGAAATGATTTTATAGGGAGGGACATAGAGAAGACAGAATTGCACTAATTGTGGTACATAAACTTTTAGTAGATTCTACTGTGTATAAGTAACCCTTATTTATCCATTCTTTACAGATCCAGGATGAGAAGACTGATAAAAGAAGCTAGCTGAACAGCTATAAAATGCCCAAATCTGGGTTCACAAAACCAGTTCAGAGTGAAAATTCTGACAGTGACAGCAATATGGTAGAGAAGCCATATGGAAGAAAGGTACATAATTTAATTAAACATTTTTGACTCTCTTGGAACTGCAAAAAAGGCTCCAATTTAGTATGTTAGTAATTACTTATAAAAAGCAGGATGGATATAAAATAAATCTATAACTTATATGTAAGCCTATTAGAAGTAAATTTTATTTCTTAGGGACATGATTGTTTTTCTTTTTTAAAAGTTATTTATTTTTATGTTATTTGGAAGGCAGAGAACAACCAGGGCTGGACCAAACTGAAGCCAGGAGCCCTGAACTCCATGCACTCCCTCATGGGTGTCAGGGACCCAAGTATTTGAATCATCATCTGCTGCCTCCAAGGAGGCACATTAACAGGAAGCTAGAAGCTGGATTAGAAGTAGAGAAGCTGGGACTCTAACTAGACGCTCTTAATATGGGTGTATGCAGCCCAAGCAGTGACTTAACCACTGTGCCAAGCAAAAGCCCCCAATTGTTTTTTATTTCCTAAGATTAACACAGTTACTCAAGGAAAAAAAAATCCAAGACCTCACAAAGATTTGGTAATGCTTTCCCTACCTCCTGACCCTTGATGGCAAAACAGGCAAAGATACTAACACCCATTTCTCAAGTCTGACCTTGGATAAATTTATATAACTTCTGTAACCTCTGTGTGTGTCTGTGTGTCTGTCTCATCAAGAACAGTAGTGTCTTGAAGAATTGTTGTGGCAGTGAAAATAGTGTATTATTGGTAACACAATACTTGGCACATAGTGCTCAATAAATGCTAACAGTTTTTGTTATTAAATATTATGAATGTCTTTTTACATCTATCCATCTATCTTTATTCCTTTTTTTTTTTTTTTAAGATTTATTTATTTGAGAGGCAGAGAGGGAGGGAGGGAGGGAGGGGAGGGTGGTCTTCCATCCGCTGGTTCATTCCCCAGATGGCTGCAGTGGTTGGAGCTGCACCAATCCGAAGCCAGGAGCTTCTTCTGAGTCTTCCACGTGGGTGCAGGGGCCCAAGGACATGAGCTATCTTCTGTTGCTTTCCCAGGCCATAGCAGAGAGCTAGATTGGAAGAGGAGAAGCTGGGACTCAAATGGGTGCCTGTATGGGATGCCAGCACTGCAGACGGTGGCTTTATCTACCACAGTGCCGGCCCCCTCTTTTATTTATTTGAAAGACAATTTCAGAGAGAGGTAGAGACAGAATCTTCCATCCACTAGATCATTCCCCAAATGGCTGCAAAGGCCAGAGCTGAGCCAATCTGAAGCTAGGAGCCAGGAGCTTTTTCCAGGTCTTTCACGTGGGTGCAGGGCTCCAAGGACTTGGGCTATCCTCTGCTGCTTTCCCAGGCACATTAGCAGAGAGCTGGATCTGAAGTGGAGCAGCTTGTGCCCATATGGGATGCAGGTGCTTCAGGCCAGGGCTTTAACCCATTGTGCCATAGCACAGGCCCCAACATTTTTTCTTTTATTATGCAAGTAATGTAATAACATGTTTATTTTATAAATATCAGAAAATATGCTTACAAATAATGAAAGTAGAAATTGCCTTATCAGAAACTGAGGTATCTTGGGGCCGGCACTGTGGCTCACTTGGTTAATCCTCCGCCTGCGGTGCCAGCATCCCATATGGGTGCAGAGTTCTAGTCCCAGTTGCTCCTCTTCCAGTCCAGCTCTCTGCTGTGGCCTGGGAAGGCAGTGGAGGATGGCCCAAGTGCTTGGGCACCTGCACCCACGTGGGAGACCAGGAAAAGCACCTGGCTTTCGGCTTTAGATTGGCGCAGCGCAGGCCATAGCGGCCATTTGGGGGATGAACCAAGGGAAGGAAGACCTTTCTATCTCTCTCTCTCTCTCACTAACTCTATATGTCAAATAAAAATTAAAAAAGAAAAAAAAAGAAAAACTGAGGGATCTGAGGTCTTACGCTGCTGGCAAGCTAGTCAGTTTCATGGATACTGGAAAATATAGAACTTCTGGGTCAGTCACAAAATATAGTAATAGGCATTTGTGCCTGTTTCCTGATCCTTGTTTTTCTTGAATATTTATTTATTTATTTATTTGAAAGTCAGAGTTACAGAGAGAGAGAGAGAGAGAGAGAGATCTTCTGTCTGCTGGTTCACTCCCCAAATACTACAATGGCCAGAGTTGGACTGATCCAAAACCAGTGGCCAGCAGCTTCTTCTGGATCTGCCATTTGGGTACAGGGTCCCAAGCACTTGGACCATCCTCCACTGCTTTCCCAGGTATTAGCAAGGAGCTGGATCAGAAATGGAGCAGGTTGGACTCAAATTGGCATCTGTATGGGATGCCAGCACTGTAGGCAGTGGCTTTATGGGCTATGCCACATCACTTGCCCTGATCCTTATTTTTCATATGATGTGTGCAATACACTTGCATACACAGTGGGTTGTATTACAGGAGAGGAATTCAAAGCTTCTGTGGTGGGAAGTCTGCCTGATCTTTGCCCTAGAAGGAGAATTTATTATTTAGAACAGTGAACAGATGTGTCCTTTGCTCTGGAGGGAAGACAACTGTATCTTATGAGACTGTGCCTTATATTAGTATCCTTTAAAAAATAGTTGAGAACAAAGGGATTTAGTGCCTCTGGTTCCAAAATATACAGAATTTAAGACATGGAGAATTATCTCGCAGTTCATGTGTAGTGCTACTACTGACACATAGTCATTGACATTTTGATTTATACCTTTTAAAAGTTTTATATTTACATGTATGTGTTTGTGTGTGTATTCTAGGTAAATTTTTGCCTCATTTCTTTTTTCTTACGGAGCTGATAAAGGCCATTAGTACATTCAGTGTTTCATAGCTGTAGTGATAGAAAATCACTCTCATCCTGCCATTGTTTGAATCTCACAGAAACCCTTGTTCAAGAATAATACATGCAAGGATAAGTTCTATTTTACAGAAGGTTAACAGGTTGGAAGTAGTTATGAATAATTACACTAATTTCAGAATTGCAAAGAACATTGATAGAATCTTTTGAATATTTTCCATTTGATATACTGTCAATTTTATTTGTTTTAATTCATTTATAGCAGAACAGTGTCTTTTGTAACTGCAAAGGAGAATGGTGTCTATTTTTCTTAGATCTTTTATTCATAGCAAAGATTCCTTTTCTAAGGCAAGGCTTTGGAATTTTGTTCCTTGACCTTCGTACATCACTTCTCAATTTATAATGATTTGACTTAAATAGTTTTTCCACTTTATGTTGGTGTGAAATTGCACCCCTATAGTCATTCTGTTTTTCGCTTTTAGTACAGTAGCCAGTAAATTTCATGAGGTAAATTACGTGAGATACTCAACACTGTTAAAAAGTGAGTTTTGTGTTAGATGATTTTGCCCAACTAATATAAGTGTTCTGAACACAGTTAAATTGAGACTAAGTTATGATGCTTGACAGAGTCTCAGTATTAAAGCCATTTTTTACTTCAATATTTTCTATTTAAGGTAAATTTATTGTGATATAACCCCATTACAAGTCAAGGAACATTTGTATTAGTTGTGCCTTTTTATTTTCTATATTTCGCTGGGACTGTGCTAACTCTTGAAATATTGTCCCTCCCAGGTTTAGAGGTAGTAAACAGCTCACTTAGACACATACCTTTCACATGCAAACTAATCCAGAATCCACACCCCATCCATCAACTTTATGGGCCTCATATCCTGAGCTACTAACTGGCTGCCCTAATTACTATAGAACCAGGTACAAGACAATTAGAGAAACAACCCTAACAACCTAGAGCCTACTGAAAATCCTTAAACTAGCCAGTCCTTAACCTGCTTCTCCTCTATCACCCTTTCTTTCCTCCCAAAATCGCAAGAAAGGCTATTGCCCATATTCTGGAAACTGAGTGACACTCTTTTTTTTTTTTTTTTTTTTTTTTTTGACAGGCAGAGTGGACAGTGAGTCTTTTTTTTTTTTTTCAATAGCAGTCATTGTTTGATCTACTGACCTTACCATACCTGAATAAAAATAACAATACTACATTTTAAAATATCTATCTGGGAAGCTCAATTTTATTGGCAGAAATGAAACAAAAACACTAAGGGCTTTACTTTAAAGCTTGCAAATAAATAATAGAGGTTCATTCATCTTTCTTGTTATTGCCACCAATCGATATCATCATATGGTTTTCTTTTTGAATCTTTTGCTGCAGTGGATTATCAGAAGAGGTTTTCTAATAATGAGCATTCTCTGGATGAATCTTGCCTGATTATGGATATTATCTCCTAAGATACTGAATTTGATTGGAGAGTTTTAAATTATTTAAGATTTTTACATTTGTGTTCATATGGGGATTTCATTTATAATATTCTATTTTGTGCTCTTCTTTGGTCTCAGAAAATTATCCATTTTTCCAGGCCCATAATTTTCTCATGGTGTGAAAAATCAATATAGCATTCTTTTTTAATTCCTTTTTTTCACCCCATCTGCCATTCTCTTTAGTCTTAGTCTTTATTTTTCTCTTCTCATTTTCATGAGACTTGCCAAAAGTTTGTGTGTCACTATTTTAGAATCTTTTGATTATTAGTAAAGTCTGTGTTCTTAAAAACAATTCAATATTTTAACATTTTTTTCAAAGATTTTTTATTTATTTGAGAGGTAGAGTTACACACAGAGAGGGAGTGACAGAGAGAAAAGTCTTCCATTTGCTATCTGCTGGTTCACTCCCCAAATGACTGCAATGGCCAGAGCTGTGCTGATCTGAAGCCAGGAGCCAGGAGCTTCTTCTGGGTCTCCCACGTGAGTGCAGGGGCCCAAGGACTTGGGCCATCTTCCACTGCTTTTCCAGGCCGTCACAGAAAGCTGGATTAGAAGAGAAGCAGCTGGGACTTGAACCGGTGCCCATATGGGATGTCAGTGCCAGAGGTGGATGCTTAGTCTACTACACCACAGTGCCAGCCCCCAATATTTTAATTTTTTATACCCCTCCTTTCATCCTTTAGGGTTGGAAGTTAGAATCTGCTTCTCATTTGCTTCTGAGGATCTCTAAGATACGTTAATGTTATTGTTTTTGGGAAATATTCTCTTAAGTCTTTCTGTCTTTTTTTTTTTGACAGGCAGAGTGGACAGTGAGAGAGAGAGACAGAGAGAAAGGTCTTCCTTTGCCGTTGGTTCACCCTCCAATGGCCGCCGCTGCAGCCGGCGCACCGTGCTGATCCGATGGCAGGAGCCAGGATCCAGGTGCTTTTCCTGGTCTCCCATGGGGTGCAGGGCCCAAGCACCTGGGCCATCCTCCACTGCACTCCCGGGCCATAGCAGAGAGCTGGCCTGGAAGAGGGGCAACCGGGACAGAATCCGGCGCCCTGACCGGGACTAGAACCCGGTGTGCCGGCGCCGCAAGGTGGAGGATTAGCCTATTGAGCCACGGCGCCGGCCCCTTTTTTTTTTTTTTTTTTGACAGGCAGAGTGGACAGTGAGAGAGAGAGAGACAGAGAGAAAGGTCTTCCTTTGCCGTTGGTTCACCCTCCAATGGCCGCCGCGGCCAGCGCGCTGCGGCTGGCGCACCGCGCTGATCCGATAGCAGGAGCCAGGAGCCAGGTGCTTTTCTTGGTCTCCCATGGGGTGCAGGGCCCAAGCACCTGGGCCATCCTCCACTGCACTCCCTGGCCACAGCAGAGAGCTGGCCTGGAAGAGGGGCAACCGGGACAGAATCCGGCACCCCGACCGGGACTAGAACCCGGTGTGCCGGCGCCGCTAGGCGGAGGATTAGCCTAGTGAGCCGCGGCGCCGGCCTCTCTTAAGTCTTTCTGATAAGGTGATGTGGCTTAGCTCTTAGTATCAGGCTTATTTTTCACAAAGCCCACTTTAGCTATGCTGTACCAGTTGGACGTTGGATAATAGGAGTGAACTGTATAATAGCTATGGTCTAGGGTCGGCGCTGTGGCGTAGCGGGTGAAGTTACCGCCTGCACTGCCAGCATCCCATATGGGCGCTGATTCAAGTCTCAGCTGCTCTACTTCCAACCCAGCTCTCTGCTACGGCCTGGGAAAGCCATAGAGTGGCCAGCGCTGTGACATAGCGAGTAAAGCCGCTCTAGTGCCAGATTCCATATGGGCGCCAGTTGGAGTCTCTGATGCTCCACTTCTGATCGAACTCTCTGCTATGGGCCTGGGAAAGCAGTGGAGAATGGCCCACGTCCTTGGGCCCCTGCACCCACCTGGGAGACCTGGAGAAAGCTCCTGCCTCCTGGTTACAGATCATCACAGCACCGGCTGTTATGACCAGCTAGGGAGTGTTAACAGCAGATGGAAGACCTCTATCGTGCTCTCTGCCTCTCCTCTTTCTTTATAACTCTAATTTTCAAATAAATAAATAAATCTTTGATAAAAAAAAAAAAAGAAAGCATTAGAAGATGGCCCAAGTCCTTGGGCCCCTGCACCCACCTGGGAGACCCGGAAGAAGCTCCTGGTTCCCGGCTTCGGATCAGCCCAGCTCCGGCCATTGCGGCCATCTGGGGAGTGAACCAGCAGATGGAAGACCCATCTCTGCCTCTGCTTCTCTGTAACTCTGCCTTTCATATAATTAAGTAAATCTTTAAAAAAAATAGCTACAGGCCATGCAAATCAGATATTTCACCTGATAGGGTGGATCCATAATGTTGATGGGTGGAATTCTTTCTTATCTTTCCACAAGAAAGAATTCAGAAATGAGACAGGGTAGTAGTACTGAGGTAACAAGGCTTAATGGGGTAGGGCATCTGTCAGAACAGAATCTGAGAGTGCCCAGCCATTAGACTGGATTGAGCAAGATTGCATAGTTCAATAGAAAGAATAGAATACACCTGCAGGCCAGGTGGGTATCTTAGGAAAGGGCTAAGAGCACAGTCTGTATTCAGACTGGGACTTAAAAAAGGGAATGGGGTCCATTTCTTCCCACAGTTTCTCCTCTCCCCACCCCCTTTTGAATAAAGGATTTATTGGGTGTGAAATAGGTAAAATTCTCCCAAGGTTTTAATTGCCTAATCTCCCAAGGTTTTATTGCCCAATAATATAAGACTGGGTAGTCCACTTAGCTCAGGCAGAGAGGATTCTCCTAGGGTGCTTTCCTTGGGAAGAAGGCTGGTATCACCTATGTTACTGAGGTATTGACAGGACTTTGTAGTGTAAAATACTGGGCTGCTTCATTCCTTTCCACAGGTGCTTTGTTTTCCTTGGGCCCCTCTCATACACATAGGCTAACTTCTTACCTAAGAATAATATTTTTATTTCGCGTATCTTTTTCATGTTGAATTAGAAAAGTTTCTCTGATTTAAGAAATGTGATTGTAATATTTCTCTCTTTAAAGATTTATTTATTTGAAAAGCAGAGTTTACATAGGGAGAGGGAGAGACAGAGAAAGATCTTTCATCTAATGGTTCACTCCCCAGAAGGCTGTAACTGCTGGAGTAGGGCCGGTCTGGAGCCAGGACTTCCTCCAGGTCTCCCATGTGGGTGGCAGGGGCCCAAGGACTTGGACCATCTTCCACTGCTTTCCCAGGCACATTAGCAGGGAGCTGGATTGGAAGTGGAGCAGCTGGGACTTGAACCGGTGCCCATGTGGGATGCCAGCATAGCAGGCGGCCCCTTAACCCACTGTGCCACAACATGGGCCCTCAAGTTATAATCTTTTGCTGAACTGGATTGGTTACCCTTTGGTTCCAATGATCTGTATGAATTTTCCTCCATATTTATAAAGAGTAATGCTTCTCAAACTTAGGCATGCCTCAGAATCACCCAGAAAGACAGTTAGACCGGGTCACTGGGTCTCATCTCCAAAGTTCTGAAATGGAGCCCAAGAATTTGCATTTCTCTCGAGTCCTCAGGTTATGCTGATACTGCTATTCCAGAGACCATTTGCCCTAATGATACAGATAATTGTACAGTCATCCCTCGGTATCCTCAGGAGATTAGTTTCAAGGCTTCCAATAATAGCACAATCAAAGTCTATGTAAAATGGTGTAGTATTTGCATATAACACATCTTTATGCTTTTGTATACTTTAATTCTTTCTAGACTACTTAAAATTCACTACTACAGTAAATGCTGTGTAAATACTTTGTTGATTAGGGAATAATGACAAAAAAAAATCTGTACATATTTAGTACAGACACAATTTTCTTTTCCAAATACCTTCAATTTGCAAATGGTTGAATCCATAAATGCAGAACCTGTCGATAGAGAGACCACTGTATTTTTTTAAATACAATATAAATGTGTTTAGTTCAATCCAGAATTTCTTTTTGAGATTTATATATTCGTTTTGATACCTCTAGATTATATTTAGATATGTGATTGTTATACTTAAGATATTTTGTTTTATTTTAAAATTCTATTATCTTTTATTTTAAAATTCTGTTACTAAGTAAAAGGGGTTTGTGAAAGAAGATAGAAAAAATGTTCTAATTGTTGAAGCTGAGTCTTTTTTTCTTTTTGATAGGCAGAGTAGACAGTGAGAGAGACACAGAGAGAAAGGTCTTCCTTTGCCGCTGGTTCACCCTCCAATGGCTGCCACAGCCGGCGCGCTGCGGCTGGTGCACTGCGCTGATCCGAAGACAGAAGCCAGGTGCTTCTCCTGGTCTCCCATGGGGTGCAGGGCCCAAGGAGTTGGGCCCTCCTCCACTGCACTCCCTGGCCACAGCAGAGAGCTGGCCTGGAAGAGGGGCAACTGGGACAGAATCTGGCGCCCCGACCGGGACTAGAACCTGGTGTGCCGGTGCCACAGGCGGAGGATTAGCCTAGTGAACCGCGGCATCGGCCTTTAATTGTTGAAGCTGAGTCTTGAGTACATGGAATACAATGATGATTTGTAATTCCTCTCTCTACTTTTGTGTATGTTTGATATTGTTCTTAATAAAGATGCTATTTGACAAATATTGGTATAACTTATTTATATTTGATTTCCTAATAGAGTAAAGACAAGATTGCATCTTATAACAAAACTCCAAAAATTGACCGAAATGATGTGAGCAAGGAGATGAAAGAGAAATCATCCATGAAACGTAAACTTCCTTTTACTATTAGCCCATCAAGAAATGAAGAACGAGATTCAGACACAGGTAGAGTGATTTGTTGTTTTCTGTTAAAAATCTTAATCATTTGCTTATTGTGGTTTTCTTTTCACCTGCACCACTCTGCTTGACACCCCAGTTTATAGAGAAATATTTGTATTTCAAATTTATCATTTTGTGATAGACATTCATCTGTTATCATATAAATGTGATTTCTAAACAGAGATAAAAAGTAGTATGTTTATTCCTTTCTCTCTCAGTGTTTATTACAAACCTGATTTCAGAACTTAAATTTTTGGGTGAGCATTCTAATGATGAAAATTTTACTCGATGATAAGGGAGCAAAAGTCGTTGAGTTTTTGTAGACATACTGGACATACCAATGAAGGTTGTAAATTTTATGTCTAGAAATATGTACCACACTAAAAAAATTCAGGCTGACTACCTAAGTGCTATTGATAGTAATTTAGTTTCTCAAAACTCTTAAATTACTAGAAATTATTGGTGAAGATCCATGAACCTCAGTTATTCATAACAGATGAGAATCTTACTACTGCCATCTAATAAATTACTAGGTTGTGCTTTAGCCTTGAGCTAATCATTTCTTAAAACTAATATAAACCTAAAAGTTTGTTATGTATTTGTCATAGTTTCATTCCTTCTATGAAATATTAGTAATGAACTAACAATATTTTACTTTATTCACAGAAAATTAATATTCCATTTTGTTTGTTTTTTTAAAAGATTTATTTATTTTATTTGAAAGTCAGCATTACACAGAGAGAAGGAGAGGCAGAGAGAGAGGTCTTCCATCCGATGGTTCACTCCCCAATTGGCCACAACAGCCAGCGTTTCGCCAGTCTGAAGCAAGGAGCCAGGAGCTTCCTCCGGGTCTCCCACACAGGTGCAGGGGTCCAAGGACTTGGGCCATCTTCTACTGCTTTTCTAGGCCATAGCAGAGAGCTGGATTGGAAGTGGAGCAGCTGGGACTCGAACCGGCGCCCATACGGGATGCTGGCACTGCAGGCCAGGGTGTTAACCTGCTGCGCCACATCGCCAGCCCCAATATTCCATTTTGAGTTTCTGTACAGAGATGGTCTTTCTTATATCTTTCCACCCAATTTTTTTTTTTTTTTTTTTTTTTGAGAAGCAGATGGAGCTTCCAGCTGCTGTTTCATTCCCCAAATGCTCAACAGCTGGGAGCCAGGAACACAATCCAGGTCTCTGATGTGAGTGGCAGTAACCCAATTACTGGAGCCATCATCACTTCCTTCCTGGGTTCCCATTAGCAGGAAGCAGGAGTTAGGAGTTAGAGCTGGGAATCAAACCCATAAACTCTGATAAGTGACGTGAATCTTTATAGGCTAAATGCTTGCCTCTTTCTAGCCATCTTAAGCATCAGTACAGAAATGATCTTGATTCTAGATCTTGATTCATATCTTTTTGTGTATTTTTTTGTTTTCTCTCAGCTTGAATTAAATTGTTCTTAAATATTCATGACATTTTTAAATCTCTAGTGCAGTGATAAAGGAATTATGTGTTTTGTTCATTTTAAGTGCATTGATTTCTTCCAGAGATTGAGTCCTTTTTCTGAAGCATGACTGTACTCATAATTGAGAAGCTCAAACTAGTACTGTGTTGCTTAGCTGACAAGAAGGTGACTTAGTTGCATGCCACATACAATTTCGGTCCAGGTTTGTTTGTTTAAGATTTATTTATTTATTTCAAAGTCAAGAGTTAAGAGGAGAAAAAGAAATCTCTCTTCCACCCACTGGTTCACTCCCTAACTGGCTACAATGGCTGTGACTGGACCAAACCAAAGCCAGGATCCTGGACCTCCATCCAGGTCTCCCATGTACTTGGGCCCCAAGTACTTGGGCCATTTTCTACTGTTTTCTGAGGTATATAGGCAAGTTGCTGGATTGGAAGTGGAGCAGCCAGGACTCAAACTAGCACTCATATGGAATGCCAGCCTGGAAGGTGGCTGCTTAACCCACTGTACCACAATGTCAGCCCCCATTTTGGTCAGCACTATATGACAATGATTCTATAAGATTATATCAGCTACTGATTTTACAGCCACTTGTTTGTATAAATATACCCTGTGATGTTCACACGATTAAATTGACTAATGACACAGTACTTACAACATACTTTGTTATTACGCAGATAGCATATTATGATACACTCATCCCTTCTCTTTTTAAGTCAGTTTGCTACTCATCTTTATATTATTTACATTACCCAGGTTTTATTTTCTAATAATAGGGATATTTGTAACAGGTTTAAGAAGGAATTTTGAAAAATTCAAACTGCTACCTTTTTTTTAGGAATAAGTAAAGTTTCAAAATGGGAATAAATTTCCTTCCCACAAGTCTTTGTAATTAAATTAGATGAATTGTTAGTCTTTTATTTAGTGTGAAATTAAAGAGAAAATATTATTTAGGAAGATGTGAATGTTAGGTATAATCTAATTTATATTTTAATAACTGCATTATGTATTTACCCTGCTGCATTTTTTTCTCTATGTGAATTTAATGGGATGTTGAAGTCCTGCCCCCCCCCCCTTTTTAAGATTTATTGATTTGTTTGAAAGGCAGAGAGACATAGAGATCTTCCATCCACTAGTTCACTCCCCAAATGGCCACAACCACCTGAGCTGGACCAGGCCAAAGTCAGGATCAGAACTCTATCCAGGTCTCCTACATAGGTGACAGGGACCCAAGTACTTGAGCCATTTTCATTTACCTTCTTAGGCACATTAACAGGGATTTGAATCAGAAGCAGGGCAGCCAGGACATTGGCATTCAGATATGGGATGTCAGTGTCATAAGCAGGTCAAGACCTGCTGAAGTGATCCCAGCTTTTTTCCCTTTAAGACAGCTGGTGCTGTGGCTTGGTAGGCTAAATCTCTACCTGCGGTGCCAACATCCCATAGGGGCATGGGTTCTTGTCCCAGCTGCTCCTCTTCCAAACCACTCTCTGCTTATGGCCTGGGAAAGCAGTGAAAGATGGCCCAAGTGCTTGGGCCCCTGCACCCACCTGGGAGACCCGGAAGAAGCTCCTGGCTCCTGGCTTCAGATTGGCTCAGCTCCAGACATTGCATCCATTTGGGGAGTGAACCAGCAGATGGAAGACCTTTCTCTCTGTCTTTCCCTCTCTGTCTGTAACTCTGCCTCTCAAATAAATACATAAAATCCTTTAAAAAATTATTTTAAGAAATGTTTTATAATAAACTTTTCCTTTTAGAAGAGTCACATGCCATCATCAAACAAGATTTTGATGGATTTAAAATATGAGGGAAATTATATAGAGAAATTTTCAGAAAGTTCATTGAATATCTGTATTATGAAAAAATATTGCATAAATTTCAAAATGTTTGTACCAAAATAAGTTTTTCTATTTTTCCATGAACTTTTTGAAGTGCCTTTTTATTTGTAATTTTGGTAGGCTAAGTTTATAAATTTTACTAAATAATAGAGCAAGAGAGGCTTTTTTGTTTTGACAGGCAGAGTGGACAGTGAGAGACAGGGAGAAAGGTCTTCCTTTACCGTTGGTTCACCCTCCAATGGCCACTGCGGCCGGTGCACTGCACTGATCCAAAGCCAGGAGCCAGGTGCTTCTCCTGTTCTCCCATGGGGTGCAGGGCCCAAGGACTGGGGCCATCCTCCACTGCATTCCCGGGCCACAGCAGAAAGCTGGACAGGAAGAGGAGCAACCAGGACAGAATCCGGCGCCCCAACTGGGACTAGAACCCAGTGTGCTGGCGCCACAGGTGGAGATTAGCCTATTGAGCCACGGTGCCAGCCAGAGCTAGAGAGTTTTACACACCACACATAACCAGGACATTAATAAGAATTTCCCTGTGTCCAAAGCAAAACAAAATATTTATGATCTGGCTTTCTTTTACTTTTTATAATTTTAAAAAATAAAATAGAACCCAATATGCTATTAAATGATATTCTACATATGAAAGATAATTATAGCATTGAACTCTGTATTGTACACTGATCTTATGTAATGTACTGTGTTTTAAGCTATTAGTTGAAACAGTAAAGGTAAATATTTAGAGAGGCAAATATTTAAAATATATACAGTAACACTTAAATATACAAAGTATTTAACAGTCTCTTAGATGTGAAAATATACAAAAATGGCAATATGAACAAAATGTACAAATAGGAGCTTACAACAATGGAGTTACAAAAACAACTGGCAAAGAAATATCTACAGAAAATCAATGGTAATCAATAGATACAGTTATAATTTATGACTAACAAAATTAGTCTATATCATACCTAGTGGTCCTAGGTTGCAAATACGAACCTGTTTTAATTGCTATAAATTAAAAGAATACCTTGTTGGAGGTAAATATAAAAACATTTATCAAAAAAACAAGTTTCTTAACATTTGACTAATTTCTTTTTTGGTATTTATTCTATGTAAATAATGAGAGCAAAAATCAGTCTTTAAGAATATCTCAGCTTTATAGGATTTGTTAAATAATGATTCATCCAATGAAGAAATGTGGTTTTCACTATTAAAAATAACATTGTAGAAGAATACATGATGTGGAACTGGTACTGTGGCACAGCAGGTTAAGCTACCACCTGCAGCACTGGCCTCCCATATAGGTGCTGGTTCAAGTCCCAGCTGCTCCATTTCCAATCCAGCTCCCTGCTAATGTGCTTGGGAAAAACAACAGAAGATGGTCTGAGTGGTCGGGACCCCTGAGCCTCTGTGGGAGACCCAGAAGAAATTCCTGGCTCCTAGCTTCGGCCTGGCCCAGCTCTGACCTGCAGCCATCTGGAGAGTGAACTAGCAGATGAAAGATTTCTCTCATTCTCTGCCTCTCTCTCTCTAACTCTACTTTTTAAATAAATAAATAAATCTGTAAAAAAAAAAAAAAAAGAATACATGATGTAGACAGATGTTCAAGATATTAGAAGTGAAAAATTAGGTTATGAAGTAATAGTATTATTTGATTGTATTAAATATGATTTATATGTATATCTGTGCACACATGATACAATGCATATTTGGAAAGATAAAAATATTTGGAAAGATAAAATGTGGCTATTTAAATATAAGCATCTATTTCACTGTCAGAATTAAGCCTAAACATGGTAGATGTATTTTGAGTTCAGAACAAAATATGAATGTTACAAGCTCTGACGCAGTAAAAGAAAAGAACAAGGAATGGGGACTATGAAGCACGCCTTAACAGTGTTACTCCATCTTCATCTCTCATAGAAAGAGGTTAGCTGATACTGTATATTCTGAAATGGTATAGTTTCTTTTCCCCCAAAGATTTATTTATTTATTTAAAAGGCAGATTTACGGAGAGGCAGAAGCAGAAAAGAGAGAGAGGTCTTCCATCCACTATTCCCCAGTTGGTTGCATTGGTTGCAACAGTAGAGCTGCGCCAATCTGAAGCCAGGAGCCAGGAGCAGCTTCTGGGTCTCCCACAAAGATGTAGGGGCCCAAGGACTTGGGCCATCTTCTACTGCTCTCCCAGACCATAGCAGAGAGCTGGATCAGAAATGGAGCAGCTGGGACTCCACTCGGCACCCATATGGGATGCTGACACTGCAGGCGGCTGCTTTATCCGCTACGCCACAGCGCCGGAAGAGGAGCAACCAGGACAGAATCCGGTGCCCTAACTGGGACTAGAACCCGGGGTGCTGGTGGCGCAGGCGGAGGATTAGCCTAGTGAGCTGTGGCGCCGGCCGTCTTTACAATTATTTAGACAGATGCTTTGAATAATGCTCACTGGAAAGTAACACTTCATTTTGAGGTTTTGGAATATTAGTAACTTTATTCTTTCTACTTTATGTGTGACTTTGATTTTTAGAATAAAGGACAGATGTGGATACTTCAAAAAGTTCATGAAAAATGGAATTAAAAGATAAAGTGTAGGAGTGGGCTTTTAGCACAGTGGTTAAGACACTCTTTAGGACACTCACATCCTATATTAGAGTACCTGGCTTCAAGTCTTGCCTTCACTTCTTATTCCAGCTTCCTATTAATCTTGCCACCCTAATGATGGCTCAAGTACTTGAGTCCCAGCCACCCAGTTGGGAGACTCAGATGAGTTCCAGGCTTTGGCCTGTTTTCAGCCCCAGCTGTTTGCAGGTATTTGGGGAGTGAATCAACAAATGGAGAATCTTTCTCTCTGTAAATGAAAATAAATTTTAAGATTTTAAAATTTTAAGTAAAGGTAAAATTTATTTTAGTGCAAAAATTTTTTTTAAATGTGTGCATAATTTTTTCATAATGCACATTTTATTTGAACTTTTTGAAGATTTTTTGTATGTCACTTCTATACAACAAAGTCATTTTTTTTTCAGTAGCTATTCATATCATTGTCCAAGGAAGACCCACTAGTCCCCAAAATCACCAGTAATGTTATCAAATGAATTAGGGCTTCTTATTCTTCGTTTTAAGAGACCTTAGTACGATGTAAGTTTTACATCACTTACTACTTTTCTAAAAGATAACATCCTAAAAAGTAAACACTTGACTAGACCAATAAAGTTAGAGATGGTAATACAGCATAATTTGAAGTCATTCCTGTGGGTCCTCATTGTACATTGTTCATTCTAAATTACTTTATTTCAACATTTTGCCATCCTGTCTGCTTATATCATTCCAGTGTTTATCCCATATTGTCTTACCCTGTCAGAGAATTCCTGTAAATTTTATCTCATTATATATTGAGAAGCCAATATATACAGTGACTCATTGAACCTATCGCAACTACTTATCTAGAAGTCATTTGGTATTCTGTTACATCAGTTTTGCTGTGTCATTTTTCATTTTACTTTCATGTCTCCTAGTCTAGAATCCTGACAGGGTAAGTTAATGTAGTTTAAGTGGAAGTAAATCATACCAGTGTTTATTATGAAAGGTTTTTTAGAGTGACTAGTGAGTTCCTACTCAGCCCCCTGTAAGCCCTAGCCAGATATTTGAATTCTTTCTTTATAAGTCCCAGTATCTTCATCTGTAAAAATATAAAATAGTGATTTCAGACAACTGTGATCTTTAAATGACATAATATGTAATTCACTGTGTGATACATAAATTAGTTATAACAAAATAACACTGGCATAAAAATTTTAAATAGTAAGAATTAAAAAATTTTTAATTTAATAGTAAAAATGTCAGGCATAGGTAGTTCAGCATTGGTGTTGAAGCTAAATAATGCCATCAGACACTGTTGTTGTTGTTGTTTTTTCAATTTTGTTCTGCTACCTTTAGCTTATACGTACTGCAAACTTTAGCTTAAAATGTTTGTCCTTAAACGTTTTACCTTATAATCACCGGAAGTAGAAAGAGAAAAGACCAGACACAAAAGTATCTTTCTCCCAGTGAAAGTTGACCTTTTTATAGAAGAAAGTCTCCCTAGTAACTTCTGTTTAGATCACTGGTTAGGCTTTTGTATTTGCAATGGAGCCTGAAAAATCAGATAATTTTAGCTGGGTTTATTGTCATTAAGATAAAAATTGAGTTGTTCCTGGTAAGAATGAAAATTGAGTAGGCAGCTTATAATGTCTGCCATTATATAAAGTGTATAGTAATCATAACTGATAACTTTGGTCATCTTTAATAATCATTAACGTCTTTACCTACACTGTTAGTCTTTTTTTTTTTTTTTAAAGATTTGCTTTATTTATTTGACAGAGTTACAAAGAGAGGTAGAAACAGAGAGAGAGAGAGATCTTCCATATGATGGTCCACTCCCCAAATGGCTGCAACTGCCGGATCTAAGCCGATCCAAAGCCAGGAGCTTCTTCTGGGTCTCCCATGTGGGTGTAAGGTCCCAAGGAGTTGAGCCATCTGCTGCTGTTTTCCGAGTCACAGTAGCAGGGAGCTGGATTGGAAGTGGAGCAGCCAGGACTTGAACCAGTGCCCATATGGGATGCTGGCACTGCAGGCTGGGGCTTTAATGCCTTGCGCCACAGCGCCAGCCCCTAAAATCATACTTTTCTAGTCACAAGTGTCCAAGAGAATGCTATATTCCCTTAACATGAATGTATTGAACAACTCTCTTGAGACTACATATGAGTGAATCTCGGTCTTCAAACTGAATTTCCAATTATTTTGATAAGAGTAATGCTATTAAGAGCATCTTTGCAGGTTATATTTTTGTCATACCCTAATTCTTTCTTTATTATTTATTCCCAGGAGTAGGGTCACAGTGTTGGAAGATTAAACATTTCTGTGATTTCTTGATGTTTTTCCAAAGTAATCATACCTTATTATAAAGCCTTCAGCAGTATAGGAATGTTGTTTAACCTCAGATACACAGGAGGACATGTTTTTCTTTAGGTTTGATAGGTGAAATGTTCTATAGAGGTTTATCATTTAAGTTTGCATGTTTAACTAGACAGATACAGTAGCCTTCATTTTTTTCTTTAATAATTGTTTCCTGTTTTAAGCATCATTTATTTACTTATTGCCTTATTCTTTTGACATTCTGTATAATATGGTATGAGAAAGCTAAAAGAGGGACAGGATGAACTGTTCCCAGAATCCACAGTTGTAGTTAGAGAGCATGTTGAAATTTTATAAACTAAATCTTTTCTGCCAGCCAGCCTTAGCAGTTCTGTTTTCCTGGACAGAAAGAAGACATAGCTGAGTGATGGTGCAGGATATGGAAGCTTAAATTCTCCAGTTCCTGAATTAAGGCTTTGTAATCTGTTAAAATAATGTCTGCTTTCAGGAATCCATTTAATCCAGTTGAAACAACTTTATTGTCACCACCCTTTTTTCTGCTTCACAATCTCATGGAAGCTGTTTTAAATTTTTTGCTTTTTTTATATGAAATTTGAAGCATTATTTTTTTCATGAATTGTAGTTACTTAATGTATTCCATTTTGAAATAGAAATATTAATTGAAATTCTTGTTATTCAATTTGTTTACTCACTTAGTTTAAAATTGGTCTAAATGTTACCCTGTTAACAGTCTCCCTTTCAGACACTAAACTTTTAGGCTTATCTTTAAATTTTTCAGATACTGTGTTTGGGGGTTGTTCTTTGGTTAGTTTTTTGTTGGTTTTTCCCAACACTTGGTTACTTATACCTAACTGAAATGAAAATATTGTCTAAAATTATGATCCTGAGGAAAAAGTATATATCAATAAATTGAGGATTTGAAGATCAGAGTAATATTATGGTGAGTTGAAATGGCATGTTTTTTGTAAGTAAAAATATCTACTCTGGGCATATTGCCTTAGTCCATTCTTCGTATTCTTATTTCTCTATCATGAACTGTTAGGCAGACTTCTTATGTTCTTACATGATAAACTTTATTTTGATTTAGTCTGCAAAGAAGTCTTCACTAGTAATCATACACTTGAAGTATATATAATTTATAGGAAGATCTGCAATATAGAATGCTACTGCAGTCCAAAGTGTTTGGCATAGTTGTGGCACTCATAAAATAAAAAAGGGTAATTCAAGTTTTTGAAAGACAGATATCTTTTTGGAGGTGGAAAAAGATAATGTCCAAAGAGATGGTGTGTTTTAATAACAACATCAGTAATGTCTATTATTGAAACTGCATGTTGAATTTCTCAACTTCAAGATACTACAGTTGAAGCAACTGAAATCTTAGGTATTGGCCAAACCTGTGTTTTAAATGTACTTTTGGCTTCATCTTAAAAACTAATCTTTTGGGAAAACAGTGAAAGATCATTGACTAATTGGTAGTCTTTTGAAAAATGTTGGTTTGTTGCATTTCCCTTCGTGTGCCTTTTTCTTTTCTCCTGTCTCTTCTCATTCTGTAGATTCAGACCCAGGACATACAAGTGAAAATTGGGGGGAGAGACTTTTATCTTCTTACAGGACATACTCAGGTAATTAGATTATCAGGTCCTCCTGTTTAGTCAGTGGTTTCTGTCACATTTACAATTAAGTATTGTACTGTTACTTGTTTTCAAAGCAGTATATAGTGGTCTGCAGTTGAATAAATAAGCTACATGAATGACCCCAAATTTTCCAGTTTTTATTCTGAGGTATCCAGTGCATAATATCCAGCACATGCTATGTGTGAACATTGTAAGCAGGACTGTTGTGTACTTTGCTCAGATTTGTACAGTGTAATATGGGAACACCATTCCTGTAGAAAACATTGTGAAAGTCAAACCCTGGCATAGCACAGTGCAGTGAACCCTGTGAGGGGATACCTAAGGTATCCTGAGTCAAGTTATACCAAGTGTCCTGATTTTAGTAGTGTCATCTTACTCTTCAGTCATGTGATGTTTTTTAAAAACAAAAATTTAGAAGTTATTTCCATTAAGCTCTTTAGTCTTTGTTGACTTTGTTGCCCAGGTTGAATTTAAGTGTAAGTGGATGAAAATGCAGGTGTTTGGAGAAAGGCCATTACCATCAATTGCTGGAATCTGTTTAACTGTGGCACCGGTTATTATATTTTACTGATCCTTAATTGCTTTAGGTAGGAAAGAATATACAAATACTGTCCTTTTTTAAAAAAAGTTTTCTCCAGTGGTTGGCAAGAAACTAATTAGTGTTAAGTGTTTCGATTTTTTTTTTTTTTAAGTAGGATGACATTTTTATCTCTGAACTTTTTAGTCTGGGTATCTAAGTGTCCATTTTTCAGCATAAGACATTTTGCTATTAAAAACTGAAATAAACCTATTTCTGATATGCTTTTTACTTTGTAAATTTCTGAGGGTGCTAGTAGACTCAAATAATCATTCCTAAAATTATCCTGAAAGTTGTTAATTAAGCTGATAAATCAGTAGTTCTGTTTAACAGGTTTGGCAGTGGGGAGCATATTTACGGTCAGTTGCAATGGAATTAAGTATACTTTTGTAAACGGGGACACCTAAGTTCCCAGGCGTACCTAAAAGAGCTGTATGTGATGAAGCCATCCATGATCTGAGCAGTATTGCAGGGAGTCAAGATAAAGATACTCAGTGGTTAAGAGATTTATGTAGATATTTGAGAAGCACAGAGTAATGGCACTTTTTTCTCAGAGTTTAAATGTACACATTGCAACCATGGCGGATTCACTGTGTTTGAATAGTAGTTCCATTGGTTCATTCCTTACATGGTGACTGCTATGTGGAAAGTGTTGTATTCTTTAATTTGTGAGACGCTGACATGTTTATGAACCAGTTGTTTCCCAAGATACTCTACACATAATTGGGAACTCACAATGTTAAGCTTTTTATGTATTCTGACAGGACCTGAAAAGGAAGCATTGATTTTCAAGATTATAAGACTGGGACACCTTTGTGTTTTTAAAGATTCTGTGAATCTTGAAAGAATGTTGGATTGATACAAAGTCCATTTCCTTTCTTTCTCTCTCCCCCTCTCCCCCTCTCCCCCCCTCCCTCCCTCCCTCCCTCCCTCCCTCTCTCCCTCTCTCCCTTCCTCCCTCTCTCCTTCTTTTTCTCTCTCCCTCTCTCTCTCTCTCTCTGTGTCTCTCCCCCACCCCCCTTATTTGTGTAATCTTAATTAATCTTTTGCCTTAGAAATCTCTAAGCTGACTGAGTGGACTGGCACATCCATGGTAGACTATGCTAAGTGAGCACCTGTGTTAAAAGCTTTGGTCCATTATTAGGATAAATACATTTTTTAGTTACTGAAATTCAGTTACCTAGCTTTTTCAAACGTATAGTTTATGAGGAGACTTAAAAAAATTTGTGGCAAATGGAATTAAAAGGTAAGCTTATTTTGGAGCAAAAAGTTTTCAAATCATGTTTTTTCTTAATACATATTGTACATGAACTTTTTGAAGTCTCCTCATATCACAGGATAGATCCCAAATAGTCAAAATCTTGTTAACTGCTTTAAACTGAAAAGCTGTTATTTTGAGACGTAATAGTACAGTTTTGAAGAATTGGTATGGCTGTCTCTAACCCCGCTGCCTTATACCAGGTACTGTTCACTACCTTCTTTGCTTATCTCATGCAAAACAGGATTTCAGATTTCTCTAGTAACTCAAAAAAGATTCAATCTTGGATGCTAGTATATTATTTGAATTTTTGTTTAAATATTAGTAATATATACTGTATGTTTATTCTTTCCAAAGTGTAATAATTATTTGATCAGTTGGCAGCATGGAATTCTAATAATGATTTTCTGTCTCTTTTGTAACTCTAGTATATATATTCTATCACTTTATTGTCATCTTTTTTATACATTATATTAAAATGCTACTAAAAGAAAATAAAGACATTTTTTGTTACTAGTTTTTACTATCATTGAAAAATCTTTTCTACTTTCTATTTTATAGAATCTTAATTTTAGGGGAGAAATATACTTAGTATATTTACAGAATTATTAAAATAACAATATTTGTGTATCTTAGTAAGTATTTAGGAACCAAGATGTACAGAATGTTTTTAACAGAAAGTATATATGTATTGGAAAATAAAGACATTGCGACAGACATGTTTACTGCTTTGTAATAAGTGTAGTGTTTAACTATTATTCTGAGATTAGATTTATACTATATTGAATGATTAATGATAAGAAAATAAGAACTATGCTAATACAAAATATCAGAGCTATGAAGATGATAGATTATATTATAAATATTAATAAAAGTTGATTTAAGTATGTCCTAAACTTTTTTGTTGTATTACAAAAATATTCAGCAAAATTGGGCCGGCGCCGCGGCTCACTAGGCTAATCCTCCGCCTTGCGGCGCCGGCACACCGGGTTCTAGTCCCGGTTGGGGCGCCGGATTCTGTCCCGGTTGCCCCTCTTCCAGGCCAGCTCTCTGCTGTGGCCAGGGAATGCAGTGGAGGATGGCCCAGGTGCTTGGGCCCTGCACCCCATGGGAGACCAGGAAAAGCACCTGGCTCCTGGCTCCTGCCATCGGATCAGCGCGGTGCGCCGGCTGCAGCGCGCCGGCTATGGCGGCCATTGGAGGGTGAACCAGCGGCAAAGGAAGACCTTTCTCTCTGTCTCTCTCTCTCACTGTCCACTCTGCCTGTCAAAAAATAAATAAATAAATAAATAAAAAAATTCAGCAAAATGGACATTAGATGCCATTGAATTTTGAATGCATTGTGGGCAGTGGAGTATATGAATATGTTAGCGTATTCTAGCTACTGGCCATATCTGCTTGTAAAAGACATTGTACTAACTGTTAAGCTTTCCTGTGTCCCGCTAATTTTTGCTTTTTTTTTTTTTTAAGATTTATTTATTTGAAAGCGTTACAGAGAGAGGTAAAGACAGGTCCTGAGGGAGGGAGAGAGAGAGAAGAGAGAGAGAAAGAAGAGGAGAGAGAGGAGAGAGGAGAAAGAGCTATTTTCCATCTACTGGTTCACTCCCCAAATGGCCACAATATCCTGGGGCTGGGCTAGGCTAAATCCAGGAGGCTGGAGCTCCATCTAGATCTCTGACATGGATGCAGGGGCCCAAGTACTTGGGCCATTTTCCGCTGCCTTCCTAGGCCCATTAGCAGCGAGCTGGATTGGAAGTGGAGCAGCCCAGACTCAAACCCATGCCCACATGAGATGCTGGCATTGCAGGCAGCAACTTAACCCACTCTGCCCTAACATCACACAGTAATTTTTGCTATTTTTAAATTTTATCTTTATTTTGCAGCTCCTCTTTACATATACTCTCAAATATGGATCAGAAAGTTCTAGATGTTTATATAAGATTTCCTGAAAAAATAGATGCCTACACAGATTAGTAGCCAGACCTGTGTGTTAGCTTGCACAGTCACCTGCATTAATTCCCAGAGAAGTCCTAAAGAAAAGAGACATCCGTATCTCTTACTCATGGAATCCATTTCAGTTTGAGTTCCCTACCACTTAATCAGGGGTGGCTGCATTGCCAAATAATTTTCCCAAATAGTTAAATGTGAGAAATCAGATCTCTTGAAAAGCCCTTGCAAAGTTTTAGATTTTTGAAGGTTCTGACAACCCACAGCTACAGCTTTAGGTACTATCATTCCATGTTCAACTATTGTATGACAAGAATAAAATGATTTGGTGCTTGTTTTCAGTAATTACTGAGTGCAATGAGATGTATCTGCTGGGCTCCATGGAAGATTGTGCAAATCATTGCTGAATTAAGGAAATAATTTGAATGTGTTTTGGTGTACAGGCTTAGCAGTAATGAAGAAGAATAAAATTAGAGCGAAAGAGAAGTTTCAAAGATACAGTCGGCTCTGTATCCACAGATTCAACTAATCATGGATGGAAAATACTTGGAAAAGATTGCATCAGTACTGAACATGTACAGATTTTTTTCCTTTTCTTTATCCTCTAAGCAATACTGTATAAGGGCTATTGCTGTGGCATGGCGGGTAAAGCTGCTGCCTGCAGTGATGGCATCCCATATGGGCATCAGTTCAAATCCCAACTCCTCCACTTCCGATCCAGAGCTCTGCTATGGCCTGAGAAAGCAGTGGAAGATGGCCCAAGTGCTTGGGCCCCTACACCCGCTTAAGACCCAGATGAGGCTCCTGGCTTTGGATCCGTGCAGCTCTGGCCATTACAGCCAATTGGGGAGTGAACCAGTGGATGGAAGACGTGTCTCTGTCTGTCTCTCTCTCGCTCTCTTTCTCTCTCTCTCTCTCTCCCTCCCCCCCTTTCTCTTTCTCTTTCTCTTTCTCTGCCTCTCTCTCTCTCTCTGTAACTCTGACTTTCAAATAAATGAATAAATCTTAAAAAAATACTGTATATATATATATAAAATACTGTATAACTTGTATATAGTTTTACATTGTGTTAGGTATTATAGTAATCTGGAGTTGATATAAAGTATGTGGGAGGATATGCATAGGTTGTATTAAACCACTACACAATTTTTATGTGAAGACTTGAGTATCCATGGATTTTGGTATCTGGGTTGGAGAAAGCAGAACATCTTGGAACCAATTCCCTGTGAATATCAAGGGATGACTGCACTAGGGGATATATGAAATGTTACTGGATAAGTGAAATTTTAATAGAGCAAATCACTGAAGTACAAATTTTGCTGGAATAAATTTCCAAATATTAATTTTCTAAAAACAATAGAATTAAAATTTGTTAAGCATTCAGGAAGAAAATTGCTTTTATAATTATATAAATCCAGTACTAGCTTCATGTTATACATATTTCTCATATACATGTATGGCATTTATCAGAAAGTTGCCTTATATATTGCTTAACGTTTAAGATTCTTATATATGTATTAATAATTTCAGAGAAAGAAGGTCCTGAGAAGAAGAAAACAAAAAAGGAAGCTGGAAATAAGAAATCCACTCCAGTTAGCATTCTCTTTGGTTATCCACTCTCTGAGCGGAAGCAGATGGCACTTCTTATGCAGATGACAGCAAGAGACAACAGTCCAGGTGACACCTGCCATTATTGGTTTGACGTATATTTTAAGTTTTCCTTGGACAGCCTTGCTTTGTCTTAATTATTTTTAACTACTTTTAATTTTTAATCCTTTATTGGATTTAATCAGTATTACTTGTAACATCTGTTTGTAATTTAATGATTATTTGTGACAGTTTTTGTATTGTCTGTATCCTCTACTACGTTAGAAGGTAACTATACAAGAGTAAGGATCTTTGCATGTGGTGAATTCAGTAAATGCTTGTTCAATAAAATGAATAATTTAGAAATGAGTTAATAAGCTAAAAAAATCCATTCAGAACTTTTTACCTTGCTTAAGATTTCATTTATCCATTTCTTGCTTCCAGGCTTATGATTTCTTTTCCTTTTACTCGCACACCATTGATAAACTGGTAAACATATCATATGCTGCTTGCAGAAACTAAGTATGTGAGCTATATTTTGTTGTTTAAGATCTAATTTATTTTAAAGGAAAAATGCAGTATAGTAAGTGTATTTCATATTTCATTTTGCAGTTTCAATTATGGTGTTATGTGTATATATGTGTGTGCTTGTTCCTTTTCTTTGTCCTCCTAAATTAATTGAAGAAGGCTTACCAGCAGGACAAAATCAAAGGGAGAACTAGCCAAGCAATGTGCTCATTTTGTTAAAAGGGCATTAAGGAGATAGATAAAAACCAGACATCTGGACTGAGATAGTTGTTACTATTGAGCATTGAACTTATCTGTGCATCCTGGCAACTAAAAATAGAAGAAAAATTTGAGTTGTATAGTTCTCATTGACTTATACAAGAAGGTATATTTTGTATGGAGAAAAAAATTTCTTTTGACTGAATTCCAGGAATTTATATATAAGACTCCAGGTAATGCAACAAACCTTGTTGAACTTGATTGAAAAGAAATGAATAATCTTTTTGTTTATTTTTATTCAAAAAAACAGACATCTGGTTCATTCCCCAGATGCCCAAAATAGCCCAGGCTGGGCAAGGTTGAAACCAGGAGCTGAGAACTCATTCCAAGTCTCCCATTTGGGAAACTCACATATTTGAATCACCAACTTCCCCAAGGGTTTGCATTAGAAGGAAGGTGGAATCAGAGGTGGAGCTGGGACTTGAAACCAGGCAGTTTGGTATGGGATAGGGGTATCGGAACCACTGAGCCACACATCTGTGCCCTATATTGATTATCATTAGGACAACAAAGTTAAATTTTAAGAGTTTTTAAGTGGGCTGGCATTGTGCCATGGCAGGTGGAGCCATCTACTTGTAATGTTGGCATCCCATTTGGACACAAGTTAGTATCCTTGCTGCTCCAATCCAACTGCTAATGGTCTGGGAAAGCAGTGGCGATGGCTTCAGGTTCTTGGGCCCCTGCACCCATATGAGAGACCTGGACAAAGGTCTTGACTCCTGGCTTTGGCATGGCCCGGCCCAAGCAGTTGGGGCCTTTTGGGGAATAAAACAGCAGATAGAAGATACTCTTCCCCTCTTCCCCCGTCCCTCCTCCCCCTCTCGCCCCCTCTCCCCCTCTCCCTGCCCCAGCTGTTGGGACCTTCTGGGCAGTAAAACAGCAGATAAAAGATTCTCCCTCTCCCCCTCCCCCTTTAAAAAATACTTTAAAAACCTCATAGGGAATTGGAATTAAAAGATAGATTTACTTTGGTGCAAGCAAATTTTAAAATATATGCATTTTTAATTTAAAAATTTTATTTAAGTTATACAGGTTTTATGTCTTTTATATAAACAGATTTAGGAACATAGTGATACTCCCCCCCATCTTCCCTCCCTCCCACACTCCAGCCCTTCTGCCTCTCATATTCCCACTCTTAAATTTTTACAAAAATCTGTTTTCAGTGTACTTAATTATTATATAGTTAAAACTACACTGAGTAAAAGAGTTCAACAAATAGTATGAAGGAAAACACTGTTCTTCAACAGAAGAGGTAAGTACTGTAAATAATCTTCAAATCTCAAAATGTCCATTTCACTCTGAAATATGACATTTCAGTTTCTCTATAGTTACCTCGGATCAGGGAAAACATATCTTGACTTTTTGGGACTGGCTTATTTCACTCAGTATAATGGTTTCCATCCTTTTGCAGAAGACAGGATTTCATTTTTGTGGTTTTTTTTTTTTTTTTACAGCTGAGTAGTATAATATACTTTCCATGAACTTTTTGAATATCCTTTACATTTTATGAAGAGCAAAAAGAGAAGTGCTCAAAGTCTCCAAATGATCAGGACATGAAAATGCTGGTGACTGTGATTTGATTAGTGTAAGATGTGTATGTGTTGAGATACCAGTTGTACCCTATAATTAAGTATAATTGTTACAAGTTAATTTTAAAGAGTATAAAGCTCTTGGGATAAAAATTATCTTCAAAACTTACAAATTAAAATAATGAGGGGCCTCCTGCTTTTTAAAAACAGAATATTTTGTTTCCGTTACTCCCTCCTTTTCTACCTACAATTGGGGAAAGACCAAATTAAAGATATTTTACAGAGTTAAAACTTTAAGATAAGGGGCCCATGCTGTGGCATGGAAGGTTAAGCCGCCACCTGCAGTGCTATGGGCTCCTTTTCTTGTCATACCTGCTGCACTTCCAATCCAGCTCCCTGTTAATATACCTGGTAAGACAGAGGAGGATGGCCCAAGACCTTAGGTCTCTCCACCCTTGTGGGAAACTTGGACGAAGCTCTAGCTCCTGGCTTTAGCCTGGCCCAGTCCCAGCCATTTGGGGAGTGAACATTACTTCTTTTATAGTTTGTTTTTTCAGTAGAAATAATATTAAACTATAATGTTCTCTAGTTGGTTCTCTTAATTTAAAGATAATTGTCTGTCAGCTTTATTTTAATATATATAGAACTGGATTGAAAAGGTTATGAAACGTCAAGTTTTTTACCATCACATTTGAGGTTCAGAATTGACTGTTTTAACAGTTAGCTTAGGCCATTGGGATAGATGCAGAAATTCAACAAGATGGTTTTCTTAGTAATTTGTAAGATTACAATAAAATTCAGTTTTTCTATCAACAAATATGTCTTTTTTTTTAAGATTTATTTATTTGAAACAGTTATACAGAGAGAGAAGGAGAGGCAGAGAGAAACAGAGAGGTCTTCTGTCTGCTGATTCACTCCCCATTTGGCCTCAACGGCTGGAGCTATGCTGATCCGAAGTCAGGAACCTCTTCTGGGTCTCCCACATGGGTACAGGGGCCCAAGGTCTTGAGCCATCTTCTACTGCTTTCCCAGGCCATAGCAGAGAGCTGAAGCAGGTGCGGCAGGGACTCAAACCAGTGCCTATACGGGATGCCGGCACAGCAGGCAGCAGCTTTACCCTCTACGCCACAGGGCTGCCCCACAAATATTTCTTGAATCCTGCTTTGTACCAAGAAGTCTTCTAAGCAGTAGACATATAATAATGAATATTACAAGGTCCTTTCTAGAAATACTTAAGTGGAATGGTGTTATTGAGACAATGTACTTTATATTCCAAAAGGTCAAGCTTAGTCTTTTTTCTTACTGAGGAAAGGCTGATACTGCTTCTGAGTTCTTATTATGTTCACAAGATGATAGAAAGTTATTTTTCATAATTTTTTTTTCAGAATTAACACTAAGTCTTGAGTACTTAATTGATTAAGAAAATAATTGAGGGGTAGAAGTTTGGCTCAGCAGTTAAAATTCATCCTATATTGGAGTGCCTGGTTTTGAGTCCCAGCTCCACTTTCCATTCCAGCTTCCTGCTAATGTGCACCTTGGGAGGCAGGAGGTGTTGGCCCAAGTAGATGGGTTCCTGCCACCTATGTGGGAAACTCAGATTAAGTTCTTGGCTCCCAGCTTTGAACGGGCCCAGCCCTGGCTGTTGTGAGAATTTGAGGAATGAACCAGTAGATAAATCTTTCTTTTTTCTCTGTCTCTCCTCCTTTTCCCCTTCGCTCCACTTCTGCCTCCCTCACCCTCTTCCACTTCCAATCTCTGAATCTCTCAATCTCTATCTACCTTTCAAAAAAGTAAAAATTAAAGATAAAAGAAATCATTAAGTATTGGGTTTTTTTTTTTTTTTAAGTTCTGAAATGGAGGCAAGAGCTTCCAGCATCGTCTGGTTTGACTTGTTATTTTTAATGTAACTAAAAGAAAAATAAAAGATAAGAAGGGCTGGCGCTGTGGTGTATTAGGTTAAGCCTCCACTGGTGGCGCTGGCATCCCATATTATAGGCACTGGTTCATATCCCAGCTGCTTCTCTTCCAATCCAGCTCTCTGCTTATGGCCTGGGAAAGCAGTGGAAGATGGCCCAAGTGTTTGGGCCCCTGCACCCATGTGGGAGACCAGAAAGAAGCTCCTGGCTCCTGGCTTTGTATCAGCCCAGCTCCAGCCATTGCAGCCATTTGGGGAGTGAACCAGTGGATGGAAGACCTCTCTTTCTATCTCTCCCTCTCTGTAACTCTGCCTCTCAAATAAATAAATAAATCTTTTTTAAAAAAATATATATGTAAGAATCAAAGTTCTTATACGCCTTTTTCAAGACTGAACTTATTGCAGATCTTTAGCTTAATTTTCACACTAAAATCATCATGTCCTTTATTTGTGCTTAATATCGGAACAGAACTCTAACGCTTTATCTGAGGCCAATGTTTGAACTCCCATCATCAATTTCATTGCATCTGTCTTAGAATAATAGCCTAGGAAAAACACATTTTTTTTTTTGCAGTTAATCAAAATATTCATGAAGCAAGCACTTTTATAGTATTACTTGATATTTTATTATCATAACATAATTTTATGAATTGACAGAGAAACATTTTTCTGAATTGACTCATGATATTTGGCAACGTGAAAGGAAGATTTATTTCATGTATCTGGTTCAACTTAAAAATGTATAATCCAAGTCAAGTTCTGGGTTGTTAGGATGGGAAGGCATTCCCTGTGTCCAGGAAATTAGCAGATTATCAGTAAAAAACCTTTCAGTAAGTATATGAAATAGATGGCCCAGAACTTTTGCAAACTTTCTTCTTTCTTACAGATTCCACACCAAATCATCCATCACAAACACCAGCCCAGAAGAAAACTCCCAGTTCTTCATCTCGGCAGAAAGATAAAGTTAATAAAAGAAATGAACGTGGTGAAACTCCGTTACACATGGCAGCTATTCGAGGAGATGTGAAGCAAGTCAAAGAATTAATAAGTTTAGGGGCAAATGTGAATGTGAAAGATTTTGCAGGTAAGAATGGTTAATTCCAGACTAATATTCAGAAATTCAAACTTTAAACATCCTGATTACAGCTTCATCTACTTTATTTTATTCCTTTTGCTGGAAAGATAGATTCTGGTATTCTTTATTATAAATCTTTTGGGATGTGTGCATAAAACCTTGATACCTGCTATAATTTCATGCTGTAATTACTCAGATCTTTATGTATTACATTTTAATTGACATATTACTTTATGGATCCTCATCTAAATTTGGCTCTGTTTAGGTGAACTTAAATATGTAATGTTGTCCAAGTAGTTCAGTCAAAATTCTTTTTTTTAATTTATTTATTTATTTTTTTAAATTTTTTTGACAGAGTGGACAGTGAGAGAGAGACAGAGAGAAAGGTCTTCCTTTGCCGTTGGTTCACCCTCCAATGGCCGCCGCGGCCGGCATGCTGCGGCCGGCGCACCACGCTGATCTGATGGCAGGAGCCAGGTTCTTCTCCTGGTCTCCCATGGGGTGCAGGGCCCAAGTACTCGGGCCATCCTCCACTGCACTCCCTGGCCACAGCAGAGAGCTGGCCTGGAAGAGGGGCAACCGGGACAGAATCCGGCGCCCCAACTGGGACTAGAACCCGGTGTGCCGGTGCCGCAAGGCAGAGGATTAGCCTAGTGAGCGGAGGCGCTGGCTATAGTCAAAATTCTTTGAAGAACATTTGTTAATTTGAACATGAGAATTCTTAACGATTATATTACTCTTTTCACTTTAATGACCCAAATAAACATATATATATATAAATATCCATAACATACCAGTACATTCCTACTGTAAAGCATTCAAACACTGAAAGTATTCAGAGAGCTGTATAGAAATTCCCCTTTATTTCACTGACTGTATTATTCTACCTTCTCTCCTCCCAGTTTCTTTCTTTTCTGTAAAAGCATTAATGATTTGGTAGTTATCTTTTAATGAATTTTCATTATTATATATAAAAATGAATATTTGTTTATGTAGGCCTTTTGTTTAAACAGATGAAATTACTCCATCTATATCAGTATATAGTTACATTCTGCCTGAGGTCCTACAGATACTTCTATCTGTATGTCTCTCAGTGTGTGTACATGTATATATGACACATACATATTTCATTTTTAACAACTGCATAATATACAGATTTCCTTGGGCAGTATAGTAGTGAGCACCCTTATCCAAACATCTTTGTGTATAGTTACGTAAATATTTCAGTAGAACTGAAACTGCTAAATCAAAAGAGATACATGTTTAAGGTTTTTGAAATAATGACAGATTTGCCCACTAGGATATCTGTATCAGTGCCTTTTTTCTCATTTCTGCACCAAAACTAGATGTATCAACTTAATTATTAATCTGACAAGTGAGAAATATTTTAGTTTGATTTTCATAATTGGTAGTGACAGTAGACATATCTTGTGAATTGTCAGATCTGACCCTTTGCCCATTGTTATTTGATTTGGTACTATTTTTAATGGAGCCCTTCATGTAGTCCAAACTATATTTTTTTGTCATATATGTAAAGATTTTCACTGTCTGGCTTACACTGAACTTTAATTATAGTGTTTATTATACTAGAGTTTCAATCTTTATGTAATCATATCAGTTATCTTTTCATTTGTGAGTTCTTGCTCTGGTATTTTATTTGAGAAGATATTTGCTGTCTCTGTTTCATAAAATTATATTTCTGTATTTTCTGTTTGCCATATTTTGTTTTGTTTGTACTAGTAGGCCCATTAATACATCTGTAATTGATTTCTCTATTCAGTGTAAGTGGGGAAAGGAGTGACATACAGCATCTACTTTAAATACACAGCATCCATTCTAGGGGAAAGCGTGATAGTATTTATCAAAAGCTTTAAATATACAATTCTTTTTGGTCTAAGTGTTCCACTTATTTATTTTAAGGCCGGCGCCGCGGCTCAATAGGCTAATCCTCCGCCTAGCGGTGCCGGCACACCAGGTTCTAGTCCCGGTCAGGGCGCCAGATTCTGTCGCGGTTGCTCCTCTTCCAGGCCAGCTCTCTGCTGTGGCCAGGGAGTGCAGTGGAGGATGGCCCAAGTGCTTGGGCCCTGCACCCCATGGGAGACCAGGAGAAGCACCTGACTCCTGCCATCGGATCAGCGCGGTGCGCCGGCCGCAGCGCGCCAGCCGTGGCGGCCATTGGAGGGTGAACCAACGGCAAAAGAAAGACCTTTCTCTCTGTTTCTCTCTCTCACTGTCGACTCTGCCTGAAAAAAAAAAAAAAAGGATTTATTTTAAATATTTAGTTGTGGTTGTACAGGTGTAGATGATGACTTAGTTGTAAGGATACTTCTAGCAACATTGTTTCTAATATTTAAAAACTAGCCATACCCTCTGGTAATATGAGCATCTTAAAATAAGTTATGGTATATTTGATTAGTAGAATACTGTCATGTAGAATAACATAATGATGTAAGTAATTGTACTTGAGTTAGTAGAGGAAACAGGTTAAACATTTTTTCATCCATGCTTTGTAAAGATAGGGGAGAACTAGTAGATAATTATATTTTTTAAATGATTACATCTGAGGGTAGATTATGGGTATGCTTATTTCCTTCTTCACACTTTTTTTAGTGGTTTCTAATACTTTTGTGAACATGTAACTTTTTATTGTAAAAGTAATTAAAATGACAATAAATGAATTTTAGTTAAAATAAACATTAAATCCAGGAAGTATTTTATCAACTTCACAGAATAAAGCCTTTAAAACATAGGGTTTTGGTCAATGAAAGACTCCAAACAAGTATATCATCAGTATTTTGCCTACTTTTTCTGGTTTTTTTTTCTTTAGTTCAAATGATTTTGAAACAAGTGTGTTTAATGCTGAAAAAGGAATACTTAATACTTGAATGAAATAATTTATCCCCAGTGGAAATGATAATATCTCTAATGAACTTTCTGTAAACTGAGTGTTGTCCTTTGGTGTTTGTTTTGAACAGCTTTTTCATTTCTTTTTCCTTTGATATCATGGGCAATTTAGAATTATGATGTCACACATAGAAATGTATTTGGAAAGCCTTTATCTTGGAATTAGTGTTTGTGAACCATATGTTAAATTAATATTCTAACTCTAGGTTGGACTCCACTGCATGAAGCATGCAATGTTGGATATTACGATGTTGCTAAGATCCTTATTGCAGCTGGAGCAGATGTCAACACACAAGGATTAGATGATGACACTCCACTCCATGATTCTGCTAGTAGTGGGCACAGAGATGTAAGTATGATAGGAAAAAATCAGTAATACACATTATCAAAATACAAATTCAAGAGATGGGCTTTTTTTTTTTTTGGCTTCACAGTTAAAGACTCTGGTAGGAGTGAATGCTCCAACATGGGAAGCAGTCCATACAGCGGACTCTTAGAATGACAGTCGCTTTAAGTAGTACTCTGACCTCAGAATCAACCCTTAAGGCATTCTGCTCTGGCTGAAAAGCCTACAAGAGCATTTCAGGTGTGGAAAACCAAGACACTGTGGCAAAAAAATGTCCTACATGAAGGATTTCTGTGAAATCCCAGTGGAAAGAAGTGGTCATCAAAGAAGGTACTTTTCTCTGAAGGGAAGAGAGAATTTCTACTTTGCTTTTGGCCTTGTCATACCTGAAGGAGTTTGTGGATTCAAAAGGGTTCCATAGCCTAGGCAGCTCATGTCAAAAGCCTCAGGTGGTAACTGACATCATATGTAAAAGTGATAATTGTTAAATTAACACAGGAGTCACTGTGCACTAACTTCTCATGCAGGACCTCTGTCCTCAAAGAATTACATTATGGGAGCTAACAGTAAAACTTGTTCTCAAAGATTTATTTCATTTAGTATATTAAACAGAGGATATTCTTAAGTCTCGTAAGTTTTAGTTATGCCTAAGTGTCCAACTCCATTGCTTATTTTCTTGGGTGCTTACTTAATTAACGATAAAACTTGTTCTCAAGGAAAGAAAAAATAAAAGATACCCACATTCTGTACTGCAATGTCTGGGTTCAAGTGCCACATTTGCGCCCAGTTCCAGCTTCTGCTGATGTGCACCCTGGGATAGAGCAGGTCATGACTGAAGTGGTTGGGTCTGTACCACCCACAAGGGAGCCCCGGATTGAGCGCCAGGCTTCAGCTGAACCCCGCCCCAAACATTGTTGGCTTAGGATTATAAAGCAGCAATGGGAAGCTTGCTTCTTTGTTCACTTCTCTCTCTGACTTGCACGTTACAAAATAATATGTGTTTATTTGTTCTTCATTGTATGATATTTTATCATTTTACTCATTGCTTAATAAATTCATCTGTGTTTTGTTTATCCCTTTCTTCTACTTTCTATCTGCTAATTCATAATCAATTTATTAGTATCTTTTCATAAAATGATTTTATGGTTGGTTAAGCCCTTTGGTGAAATTGTTATGTCAAGGCATTCTGTCAGTAAGTACAGGTGGGGGCCAGCACTGTGGCACAGTAGGTTAATCCTCCGCTTGTAGCACCGGCATCCCATATGGTCGGCAGTTCTAGACCCGGCTGCTTTTCTTCCAGTCCAATTCTCTGCTATGGCCTGGGAAAGCAGTGGAGGATGGCTCAAGTCCTTAGGCCCCTGCACCCACTTGGGAGACCTGGAGGAAGCTCCTGGCTCCTGGCTTCGGATCAGTGCAGCACCAGCCATTGCGGCCATTTGGGAAGTGGACCAGCAGATGGAAGACCTTTCTCTCTGTCTTTTCCTCTCATTGTCTGTAAATCTAACTCTCAAATAAACAAATAAAATCTTTGAAAAAAAAAATACAGGTAGTTAAATCAGATTTTAGTTACAACAAAAATTTTAAAGTTTTATTTTAAGAGATTTTTTAATTTATTTTGAAAGTTACAGTTAAAGAGAGAGGGAGATCCTCCATCCTTTGGTTCACTCTGCAGATGTCCACAATGGTCTGTGCTTGGTCCAGCCAAAGCTACGAGCTTCTTTTGGGTCTCCCATGTTGGTGGAATAAGCCCACCCTGGTGGGAGACTTAGGATATGGAGACAAGCTTCAGGGAGAGTTCAGCAGCAGCCTTGGAAAACAAGCTCATATTTGAAAATCATGAACATATGAAACTTAATAACACTTAAAGGGTAGTAAGCTATTAACAGTTGGAATCATGAGCAAATTTTTTATCTGTGCATTCTTACATTTCAGGTTTTCTACAATACTGGTCTACTTCTTTTCATTTAATTCATTGTAAATGTTTGTTATTAAAGAATTTGTTAGAAATTCCCGAGTTTTGGCCGGCGCCGCAGCTCACTAGGCTAATCCTCCGCCTAGCGGCGCCGGCACACCGGGTTCTAGTCCCGGTCGGGGCGCCGGATTCTGTCCCGGTTGCCCCTCTTCCAGGCCAGCTCTCTGCTGTGGCCAGGGAGTGCAGTGGAGGATGGCCCAGGTGCTTGGGCCCTGCACCCCATGGGAGATCAGGATAAGCACCTGGCTCCTGCCATCGGATCAGCGCGGTGCGCCGGCCGCAGCGCGCCGGCCGCGGCGGCCATTGGAGGGTGAACCAACGGCAAAGGAAGACCTTTCTCTCTGTCTCTCTCTCTCACTGTCCACTCTGCCTGTCAAAAAAAAAAAAAAAAAAAAAAAAAAGAAATTCCCGAGTTTTAGTATGTAATTTTAAACTATTATATTCCAGCGCTGTGGCATAGCAGGTAAAGCTGCCATCTGCAGTGCTGGCATTCCATTTGGGCGCTGGTTTGAGTCCCAGCTACTCCACTCCCGACCCAGCTCTCTGCTATGGCCTGGGAAAGCAGTAGAAGATGGCTCATGTCCTTGGGCCCCTGCACCGGCATGAGAGACCTAGAAGAAGTTCCTGGCTCCTGGCTCCAGATAGTCCCAGTTCTGGCCATTGCAGCCATTTGGGGAGTGCACCAGCAGATTGAAGACCTTTCTCTGTCTCTCTGTCTCTGCCTCTCTCTAACTCTGCCTTTCAAATAAGTAAATAAATCTTTGGAAGAAAAAAAAAATACTGTTTACAAAAAAAGCCATTCAATTAATGGTAAGTGTAGAAAATGTTTATCTGTTTAATGTTATTCATGTAAGATTTCTTTTTAAAAAGACTTGAGAGGCAAAGCAAGAGAGAGAGAAGCAGAAAGAGCTCTTATCTGTCGGATCACTCTCCCATGTGTCCACAGTGACCAGGTCTAGGTCAGATCTGACTCAAGATGGCAACTGGGAACACAGTCCTGGTATCACACATGAGTGTCAAGCACTCAAGTACTTGAGCTATGCAGGCCTCCCAGGGCCTGCATTGCAGTAAGCTGGAATTAGGAGCAGAGCTGGGCCCCAAGCTCATCCACTTTGATACATTATGCATAGGACTGGTGGTAGCAGAGTTACCAGTAGGAGAATAAAGAGCAAATAAAAAAGTCAGGGCTGCTAAGAATAAACATTTTCACGAGACTTAACTGTGAAGAAAAGAAAGACGGGGCCTGTGGTGGAGCAGATAAAGCTGCTGCTTGCAGCACTGGCATCCCTTAGGAGTGCCAGTTCCAGTCCGGGCTGCGCTACTTCTGATCCAGCTCCCTGCTGATGGACCTGGGAAAGCAGCAGAAGATACCCAAGTACTTGAGCCCCTGCCACCCACATGGGAGGCCCAGATGAAACTTGGCTCCTAGCTTTGGGCTGGCCCTGCCCCAGCCATTGTGAGCGTGTGGAGAGTGATCCATCCAATGGAAGATCTATCTCTTTCTCTCTGTAACTCTGACTTTAAATTAAAAATATATATTTTTTAAAAAGAAGAAGAAGGACTCAACCAGGAAGAGATGAAAAAATACAGTTGGGAAGAGGACTAAAATGGGGTGGGGGGACGGGGCAGAAAAAGAAATGAAGACTCACTAGGCAGACCCTGGTTCAGTGGAGCCTGAAGCTTATGTAATTTGCTGGGGGAAAAGCCTGTAAGAAAAGCTTCAAAGTAATGAATACAATATTAGAAGTAGGATGGTAAGCATTTAGTGTGGTGGTGAAGAGGCATCCATTCTGCATTGACGTACCTGGGTTTAGTTTTCAACTCCAGCTCCTGATTCATCTTTTTCTTTTTAAAAGATTAATTTATTTGAAAGGCAGAAAGGGAGGTCTTCCATCTGTTGTGTCACTCCTCAAATGGTTGCAACTGTTGGGGCTAGGCCAGGCCAAAGACAGGAGCTTCATCTGAGTCTCCCACATGGGTGCTTAGAGCCCTTTTAAAGCTGCTCTCCCAGGCACATTAGCAGGGAACTGAATTGGAAATGGAGCAGCTGGGTTTGAATTGGTGCCTATACTGGAAGCTGGTGTCAAACCCACTGCAGTATACCACCAGCCTAGCTCTCTGACCCTTGACAGTGATAATAGATCAAATAATTGGATTTCCTCTTACCCATGTAGGAGACAATACTGTTCCAGGCTTCAGCCTTGGTCTTTGCTGACATTTGGGGAGTGATCCAGACAATGTTTGGGTTCTCCTTCTCCCCTCCCCCAAATTAGAACAATAATTAGAAATAGGGACTTGTATGGGCTGGCACTGTGGTGTAGCAAGTAAAGCTACCACCTGCAGTGCCAGCATCGCATGTGAGCACCCATTCAAGTTCTGGCTGCTCCACTTCTGATCCAGCTCTCTGCTATGGCATGGGAAAGCAGTGGAAGATAGCCCAAGTTCTTGGGCCCCTGCACCCACATGGGAGACCTAGAAGAAGCCCCTGGCTTTGGATTGGCCCAGCTCCAGCCATTATGGCCAACTGGGGAGTGAGTCAGCGAATGGGAGATCTGTGTGTGTGTGTGTGTGTGTGTGTGTCTGTCTGTCTGTCTGTCTCTGTCTCTGTCTCTGTCTCTGCCTCTCCTCTCTCTGTGTAACTCTTTCAAATAATTTTTTTAAATGAAATAGGGACTTTTAAAGGTCCCATGCAAGTGTTTTTTTAAATATATATATATATATTATTTATTTGAAAGAGTTACACAGAGAAGGAGAGGCAGACACACAGAGAGAGAGTATCTTCCATCTGCTGGTTCACTTTCCAATTGGCCGCAGTGGCTGGAGGTGCGCCAATCCAGAAGCAGGAGCTTCTTCCAGTTCTCCCACGTGGGTGAAGGGGCCCAAGGACTTGGGCCATCTTCTGCTGCTTTCCCAGGCCATAGCAGAGAGCTGGGTTGGAAATGGAGCAGCCGGGACTTGAACCAGCACCCATATGGGATGCTGGCACCACAGGCAGTGGCTTTACCTGCTGTGCAACAGCACCAGCCCCGTGAAGCGTCTTGAAGTTTACATTTCATTGATTCTAATAAAGGCACATGACTATTGATAATTGAAATTCCTCAGAAGTAGGAAACAGAGCAAGATCAAGAGCATTGGTGGATTTTCTGTAGCACAGTGGGGCAGCTGTAGTTAAAATAATGTATTATATACTGTGAAGAATTGGAAGAGAGGAACAGGAAGGCCCCAAACAAAAGATGAGGAGAGGCTATCATTGTGGCATAACAATGCTGTTGCCTGCAATGCTGGCAACCTATACAGCCTCCAGTTTGAGTCCCAGCTGCTCCATTTCTGATCCAGCTCCTTGCTAATGTGCCTGGAAAAACAGCAGAAGATGTCCCAAGTACTTGGGCCCCTGTAGGAGACCTGGATGAAGCTCCTGGCTTTGACCTGGCCCTGGCTGTTGTGACCCTTTGGGGAGAGAACCTACAGATGAAAGATCTCTGTCTTTCTCTGTAACTCTGCCTTTGAAATAAATAGATCTTTATATATATATGGCTGGCTGCCTTGTTTGAGTTGGTTGCACTTGTGTGTATGTGTTAAAATAGTGCACTGTAATCAGCAAAGATAATGCGAGTATTGTGTATTAACAAAACTAAAGATTTTTCACATCATGTGATAGAGATATTAGCATTAAACAAAGAGAAACAGTATTTTTCAAGTTCCCTCTAGGGTATGCATTTCAAAAGACCATGGGAGGCCGGCGCCGCGGCTCACTAGGCTGCTAATCCGCCTTGCGGCGCCGGCACACCAGGTTCTAGTCCCAGTCGGGGCGCCGGATTCTATCCTGGTGCCCCTCTTTCAGGCCAGCTCTTTGCTGTGGCCAGGGAGTGCAGTGGAGGATGGCCCAAGTGCTTGGGCCCTGCACCCCGTGGGAGACCAGGATAAGCACCTGGCTCCTGCCATCAGATCAGCGCGGTGCACCAGCCGCAGCGCAGCGGCCATTGGAGGGTGAACCAACGGCAAAGGAAGACCTTTCTCTCTGTCTCTCTCTCACAGTCCACTCTGCCTGTGGGGAAAAAAAAAAAAATCTAAGCCCTTGAAAAAAGAATGTCTGTGCACATGTATTTAAGTTAAAGCCCTGGCCTGTAGCACCTGTTTAAGTCCTGACTGCTCCACTTCCAATCCAGCTTCCTGCTAATGGCGCCTGAGAAAGCAGAAGATGACCCAAGTGCTTGAGCCCCTGCACTCACGTGGGAGACCCAGAAGAAGCTCCTTGCTTCGGATCAGCTTGGCTCCAGCCATTGCAGCCATTTGGGGAGTGAACCAAGTGGATGCAGGACCTTTCTTTTTCTTTTTTTTTTTTTTTTAAAGATGTTATTTATTTGAGAGTTAGAGTTACAGACACTGAGAGAAAGAGACTGAGGGAAAGGTCTTCCTTCCGTTGGTTCACCCCCCAGATGGTTGAGCCAGCTGGAGCTGCGCCAATCCGAAGCCAAGAGCCAGGAGCTTCCTCCACGTCTCCCACGTGGGTGCAGGGGCCCAAGCACTTGGGTTATCTTCTACTGCATTCCTAGGCCATAGCAAAGAGCTGGATTGGAGGAGGAGCAACCAGGACTTGAATGGGCGCCCATAAGGGATGCCAGCGCCAACAGGCAGAGGATTAACCTGTGCCATGGCACAGGCCGCAGGACCTTTCTCTCTGTCTCCCTCTCTAGCTCTCCTTCAAATAAATGAAATCTTAAAAAAAAAAAAAGAGAGAGAGACTAGGGAACTTATTGATCTGTCAGAAAAACTTGCAGTAGTACTTCTTAATAGGTATAATATGTATTTGTTGATTTATGATAAAAATAGAAAATGATGAAATTAAGTTCTGAACTAGCCCAGTTTAAATTTTCAGGAAGATATGGTCATCAGTTGGAAGAGGAATTTCAAGTAAAATGAAATTGAGAGAGAATAATGGTTAGAGAAGACACTCTGAGGGATGGCTATAGGGTAGATGAGATAACACAAGAATGTTGTGTTATCAAGAGAATGGTTGAAATTATATGTGTCTGAAGGAAATAACTTTGTACTGTTTAATGTTGCAGATAGTGAAACTATTACTTCGTCATGGTGGAAACCCATTTCAAGCTAATAAGCATGGAGAGCGCCCAGTGGATGTAGCAGAAACAGAAGAGTTGGAATTACTACTAAAAAGAGAGGTGCCTTTGTCAGATGACGATGAAAGCTATACAGGTTTGTTTGAAATAATAGACATTGAACTATTTGATATGACATTTAATAGACTTGATTGGTCTGTAGTACATGAAATATTTGAGTACCTCAAAATAATATTAGCTATTATTAGAGCAACGCTTAGCTAAAAATGATGAAGTTAACAGTCTAGATGTTTGTTACTTGTGGCTTTTTGGAGTGGAAACCTAGTGCCACTGCCGGATTTCTGTAATATTTTGTGCTATAAATTGTTCCATTGTTCTTTCATGACACTCAAGCTACTGTACTACCCTGACTTCTTTTCACATTATGTTATGAATTATAGAGGTGCTCGCCTTCAGGTCTTTTCTGGCATAAATAAGTCATACTTGGATTTTTGCTGTTTTGATTTAGGTGGTTGAACTTTTGATCACTTGCAGGTTGGGAGCAGTTTCTTTTGAAACAGTTTTTTAAAAAAAAATATTGTGGAAAACTGAGCGTGCATGGAATTTTTTTAAAAACTTAAAAATACAACAAACATTCCTGTGTTGAAGAAAATCATCTCTATACAGAATGGAAGCATTTACTATATTATCAGAAATCAATAAAAAATAATTTTTTCAGCCTTGCAAACAGCCATGTCTTTGTAATCTTAAAGAATTCCATTAAGCAATTAGGTGATGTTACTTTTATATTAAATATGAGTGAATAAAAACCAAACTGCTCCTTTAATTTCTGCCATTGCCAGGAGGCAAGAGAACAACATCTATAGTCTCGAGGCAGAAGGTTCCAATTTTTGCCTTTATGTAACACAGCTAAATTTCTTTCACAAGGAAAGGCAACTGAAAGAACACTCCTTATAATATCCTTATTGTGTTGCTGAACAAAAATTGTCAGTATATTCCAATGATTGAGAGATAATACAACAGTATGAACAAAATCATGGTAGGAGTATTCTGGTTGTAAGCACTGATTGTAAAAGAAATACCTGAACAAGTGCAAATATTCTCAAAAGTGACTATATACATCAGATCATACTTAAGAGGGAAAAATGTAATAATAATTTGAGGTTTAAATAGTAAGTTAAACTAACTGTTTTAGAAGGGGAGAAGACAATAAATATTTGAAACTCATGTTCCAGATAGGCAAGATTGTATGATAATTATTTTTTATAATAGTTGAAAAAAATACCAGTTAAGAATACTTTTAAAAAGAAAAAGAATTATAGTATTAACATTAGAGAAAAAAGAATGAGAGAAGATGTTGCATGGCAAAAAGAAGATAATTTTTTTGATAATAAAGGGCAAATAATTACAAAGCAGAGAAAAACTTGTGTTGACCTCTTAAACTGACAAATATATGAAGCAAAAGTTGCTAGAAATATAATGACAGAAACATAATACTACTTGGAAACTTTGGTTTTCCCAGCATATGCAATCCTTTATTTAAAAAGTCTCAAGATTTTAGACATTGTGTACATAACCATTAGTACTTATAGGATAATGACAAATTATGCTATATTATTGTGGCATCATCATCAGACTCACTAAGAATAAAAGTAAATGAGCTTAATAAGGAAATCAGAAATAGGAAAGAAAAAGATAGTTCTGAAGAGAAAAGGTATTAATAAAAAGTAAAATTTAATGATTAAACATTTTGTAAGTGTTGTATAAGAAAATAAAATCCTAATATTTCTAAACAACGGAATGAAACTGAGTTGCTTTTCTAAGAATATCAAATAAACAAATTCAAGGAAATCTAATCAAGAAAAAAAAGTGAGGATTTGTGAACATTATAGGCACATAAGAAACTTGATAGAGGGTGTGTGTTTGGTACAGTAGTTGGAATGCTTGTATCCTATCTTGGAGTTCCTGAGTTTGAGTCCCACATATCCTTCCAATTCCACCTTGTAATGCACAACTTGAGAGACTGCGGGTGATGGCTCAAGTAGTTGGGTTCCTGCCACCCACATGGGAGACACAAATTGGTTTCCTTCCTCTTGGCTTGGGTCTGGCTATCCTCATCCTGTAAGTACTGATGACTATGCATACAACATCTGCAACATTGAGATTTTCGTAAACCCTGGCTGTTGTAAGTATTTGGGGAATGAGTCAGCAGATCGAAGATCCCTGTCTGTTGGTTGGTTCCTCTGTCTCTTTGCCTTTCATATAAAATATATAGGAAATAGAGCTTCAGTTATGTAAAAGATTTTTCAGACTGTGGTAGAATGCTGTGTGTGGATGTTAGAAAAAAAATAAAACCCTAAAGTATAAATAATGCAGAGAAGAGAGAGAAAGACACTGACAGAAGGGGCTGCAGAGGGAGTTACAGGTGGACAGAAAGGATGTATTAGGACAAAGATTGGGGGACAGGCAGCTGTGAACACAGTGATGTTGCCATCATGTTTTAACTGGTCCAGATGTACAAATGCATGAATAGCTTTTTCTAAACCAACAAAATCCTGATAACTTCACTCTGAGAAAGGAGCCTACAAGATAGAATACTGCAGAATAACACAGTGCCTAGCATACAGAAATGCTCGGTAAAAACCACCCTGTAAAATTGGTAAAGATTTTTTAAAAACAGTATTCTGATGTTGATAGGCTTGCAGTGAAGCTGAAATCATATACTATTGTAGAGATTGCTTTCTGGAAAGCAATTTGTTAGTATATTTGAAAAATTCTTAAAGAGGTAACCAGAAGTACTCACATTATATGAGGAATCTGCAAAAAATTCAAAAAGATGTATATTGTGAAAAAACTATGCACGGGATTCAATTTTGTTTGCACCAAAATAAACATTTTTTAATTCCATCTTCCGTGAACTTTTTGAAGAACATTTATAACTGCATAAAATTAACAGGGTAGTGCATACAATAGTGAAGAATTGGGCCAGCCTTGTGGCACAGTGGGTTAAGCTGCCGTCTGAAGTGCGGCATCCCACATGGGCGCTGATTTGAGTTTCAGCTGCTCCACTTCTGATCCAGCTCGCTGCTTATGTGCCTGAGAAAGCAGCAGAAGATAGCCTAAGTGCTTGAGCTCCTAAACCCAAGTGAGAGACCCAGGCTCTCTGGCTTCAGTCTGGCCCAGCCCTGGCTATTGTGGCTATCTGGGGAGTGAACCAGTGGATGGGCGATCACTCCCTCTCTTTCTCTCCAACTCTGCCTTTCAAATAAGTAAATACATCTTTTTTAAAAAAATGAAAAATTAGAATGACACAAATGCCCAAAAAGGGGCAGAGAGATCATTATAAAAGTATATGCTCTAGGCCGGTGCCACGGCTCACTAGGCTAATCCTCCGCCTTGCGGCGCCGGCACACCGGGTTCTAGTCCCGGTCAGGGCGCCGGTTCTGTCCCAGTGCCTCTCTTCCAGGCCAGCTCTCTGCTGTGGCCAGGGAGTGCAGTGGAGGATGGCCCAAGTGCTTGGGCCCTGCACCCCATGGGAGACCAGGGTAAGTACCTGGCTCCTGGCTTCGGATCAGCGCGGTGCGCCGGTTGTAGCGCGCCGGCCGCGGCAGCCATTGGAGGGTGAACCAGCGGCAAAGGAAGACCTTTCTCTCCGTCTCTCTCTCTCTCTCACTGTCCACTCTGCCTGTCAAAAAAATAAATAAATACATAAAAGTATATGCTCTAGAGCAGCTTTTTAAATGTTGTATATATCAGAATACAAGCTAATCTAAGTTTTCCTCAGTAACAATTTAAAAAACAGAACAAAGATGTTGTAGCCCACTTGACTAAATAAACTACACAGAAATAAGGAATAAGTGGGCGTCTACTTAAAGTATTTATTAATTTAAATATACATGTGTGATATCACCTATGTGTTAATTTACAAATACTACTTTTTCCTGCCTTTATAATATGGCTTTTAAAAGATTGTTCATGACGTCAGTGTTAAAGTCATTGCAATTAGCCATCTAATGGTTTTCTATCTTAGCTTCTACCCACAGTGTTAGATACATATTTTCTAAATCTAGGTATGATGCCAGCATGGGAAAATTATCCCAAATTATGATTATTTATGTTTAATTACTGTATTACTGTGTTACCTGTTTACTTGTTCTATACTTGATAACTTCACCTTTTGGAATGATACCTTTTAAAAAAAAGCTGGATGTTTTATTTTGAAAATATTCAAACGTAGCAAAGTTCATGAAAGTCCATGTAACAAAGTTCAGTGCATACTGTGTCCCTACCAACTGCATTTTAGAGTTGTTTACTTTGGATCTATTTCCTTGGTTGCTTTATCATATATCTGTCCACTCCATCTTACTATTGATGCATTCTGTGATAAGTTGTGGACATTCCTAAGTACTTCAGCATGCACTTGATTAACATTTGTGAAACTTAAACTTCTTAAGTATAATATTTTATGAGTTTTGGAAATGCCTTGAGCTGTGTCATCCAGCCCTGTCATAGTACAGAATATCTCTGTCAGTCCCAAAAGTTCTCTCATACCCTTTCCTAGTCCAGTCCAACCCCTACCACTGATTATGTTACACCCTTACAGTAAAGATGACTAGGCAAGCATTACTTATGACTGATAAACCTAGAGAGATGTTTTGACGAAAAGGGTATCTGAATGGCCTTTCTACATCAGAAGGTGGGGGCTGGGAGAGGACAGGGGAGGAGAAACCAATGATTAATTACTGTGGAACTCCAACAGCACCCAGAATGTGTGCTCTAATGCTGTGGGAGGGATATGGCATAACTCTGGTATTTCAATTGAGAATGCACACTCATGAGGAAGTTCAAGTAGTAATCCAGTATCATGTCAGGAAGGAGTAAGAAATGACCGTGTCGGGCGAGACTCGGACCAGTAAAGCAGTAGAAGTGTTGTGGAATAAAGAGACTGTAATTAAAGGCAGCTTGCTCTTAGCCTAGGTGCTAGACTGGAGGTGAAAAATTACTATAGGAGAAGACATTGTTAGATGATTTAATAAGGAATATGCACAGTAACTAGTGTTGTATCAGTGTAATTCATGAGGTTGACAGCCATATAGGGCAACTTAATAGAATGTCCTTATGTCTTATTTCTTAAGA